GGTGTGGAGTCTCCTGCTCTGGAGACTTTTCCAACCCGCCTGGACTCATTCTTGTGCGAACTACTGTAGGTGATCCTGCTCTAGCAGGGGGGACTGGACTAGATGATCTTTTGAGGTCCCTTCCAACCCTGAACATTCTGTGATTCTGTGAAGACTGTGACCCCAGACTTCTAGTGTTGGTCTATTAGGGGTGCTTCACGGATTGCTTTTAGCTACTCAGGGCTTTTATTTCACTTGCCATCATTTCTACATAGCTATTGTGTTAGTAGAATAAATTAGCCTCTCAAGGCAGGATTTAAATGTCCACATGCAGACATCTATAGGCTAGAAGCCTACATGAAAAATACTTATTCCAGCTATCGACAATGTAAAATACTTAATCCAGCTGTCAGTAAAGGTCTGCCTGGCGTGCAGTTAATCCTGTTTGCAGTTGTCTGTCAGAAATGTCAGCTGAACTGTGCCCTGAAAGTGCCTGTTTCTTATTGCTTGTGCATTGATGTACACACTTGAAAAATGTAAATGCTTAAAGTGAGATGGGATGAATCCCAGACCTACACGTTTCAGTTTAGTCTCCTCTGACCCCCTGTATCTCTGTCAGGAGCTCACGCAGCCGTATGTTTTTGCAGGCTACTGCACTGGCTGGGGAGACCCGCACTACATGACTTTCGATGGACTGTACTACAGCTATCAAGGGAATTGCACATACGTCCTAGTGGAAGAGATTAATAAGAAAGTTGACAACTTCGGTGTCTACATTGATAACTACCACTGTGATGCACTGGATGCTGTGTCCTGTCCTCGAACCATCATCGTGAGGCACGAGACTCAGGAAGTGCGCATTGCCACCGTCAAACCGAATACTATGCAAGTAGAGGTACCGGAGAATTTTACCTTCGTTTTTGTGATTAAGATAGTAATAGAGCATCAATCTCAAAATCTTATTCACAGTGGTAGGGCGAAAAAAAACTAAAAGGAATCTGTGTTTTAGATTTAATACCAGTTTGGTTTATGAAACAGAACGGTTTTGAAGGACTGAACATGGGAGAAAAATTCTACAACTTCTTCCCTTTTTTATCTCAAATATTTGCAATACCTTTTCTCTCTTAAATACACAAACTTGGGGACTCAAAATTGGCTAAGCAGTGTTTGATTTTAAGTTTTTGTGGAGTTAGTTTCATTTACCTTTGTAAATAAGTGTGTAGGAATATTACAGATCGCTGCATATTGTTGAAAATTTACAACTTCTAGACCTCCTTTCTTTTCTTTTCCCCAAAGCAAGGAAATCTACTGTTGCTGAGTAAAAGTAGTAGTGTTAGTTCCATAGGTATATCCAAATAAATATCAAGATTTGGGCTTATTTCTTCCATTTATTTTTCCTACAAGTGTATTCTCTTTACGCCAAGGGAGTTAAAACCGTGTGCACTAGGAATTTGGGAGAATTTTATATTGCACTTTCATAGGGTGTCCTTAATGCCATAGCCACTCTAATAAATCTGTTAGTGTAAGAATTTAACTGATGTAAACTCTGAATTTGAGCCTAGTTTTTCAGTGGCTGATTCTTTGTCTCGGAAAAGAAAAGTTTGACTTTCTAGTAACATAAAAGGAAACATAGTCTATCTCCAAGGCAAAGTAATGATCAATCGTTTTCTAAAGACAAACTAAACATATGCCTCTTTTATTTCTTTTTTTTCTTACTTATTAGGTGACAGTGAACAGACAGACAGTGGCTTTGCCTTACAAAAAATTTGGCGTGAGCATCTATGAGTCAGGCATAAATCATGTGGTGGAAATTCCCGAACTGAAAATGAATGTGACCTACAATGGCTTGTCCTTTTCTATCAGGATGCCCTACAGCCTGTTTGGCAACAACACTCAAGGACAGTGTGGTAAGGCTTACATTTGTCACTTTTGTACTCTCAGAAAACCACAAGCAAGTGAATGGCAACCCTGCCACGGAGGAGTTGGATAACAAATCCGTGAGTGAATTCTTTCTCCCCGATTTCAGGCACTTGCAATAACAACACGTCAGATGACTGCAGGTTGCCGGATGGAACGATTGCAGAGAACTGCGAAACCATGGCAGATCACTGGCAAGTTGTCGATCCCTCCAAACCACAGTGCTCACCGGGTCTGATTCCTTCAAGGTCACCAAGTACAACCCCAGTGCAGCCTTGCAAGGAATCTGCCATCTGCGAGCTTCTTATGGGAAGGTGGGTGTTCCTCCAGGGTTTATAAGCCTTTGAGCTTCAACTTAAATGGCAATTTTAGGATTAATTTCTCAATAAGTATTTCTAAGTACCGCTCAATTTCTTGTAGCTTTGTGGGTTTCTTCCATTCCTTTTACAGTTCCTACATACCAGCCTTTGCTCCCAATGTTCTTGCTGCTGCCTTTAACTTTCTTGATGTGCTTGCCTCCTTCCATGCTCTGTGTCCTATGCTCTTGCATTTTCCCACACTCACTTAGGAGAAAACAGAGTCCAACTAAAACCAGAGATCTCTAATTTTTTAGACTGTCATGCCAGAATTTAGGAAAAAAAACAATTTAAAAAATCAAACAAAATCTCAATAGAAAAGTAGTTCACGGTTACATTCAGTAATATTCATGTAACTCCTGGATAGAAAATAGCAGTGTCAGAATGTTTTATAAGTAAAGGGAAAATACTTTAAGATATGTTGAAAGGTTCCAATCTAGGTAAGTGTTCTGAGTAAAAACCTCTTGGTAGTAGTCCTTGTTCACGTCTCCTTCAGTACCACTGTCGCCACATGTTGAACACATTGAAGAACTCCTGCATTATTCGGTAACTAATAATGATAAACCTCTCTGTTTCTAGTGTGTTCCAGCCCTGCCATAAATTTGTGCGACCTGAGAAGTACCACGCAGCCTGCCTGTTTGACAGCTGTGTGCTTCCCAACTTAGACCTGGAATGCTCAAGCTTACAGATCTACGCTGCCGTCTGTGCTGACCAAGGAGTCTGCATTGACTGGAGAGGTCACACCAACGGCGTCTGCTGTACGTATCGGGCCATTTATCGTGCGCTGTTAGGGAAGCTTACACAATATAATTTCAGTAATAATGTCCTGATAGTAAATCATACAGCTTTCTGAGCAATGAAGACACCATTAAACGACACCAGCTAAGGTTAAGGAATTTTACAGGTAACATTTTTAACAATGGAAATGATAACTGAGCCTGCAAAAATACACCTCTGTTGGCTGTGCCAGAGACACTTGTCTCAGTAGATACTGTTTTGTACACAGTCAGTTTTGTTTATTTGCAGGCATCAGCAGGTCGCTCTGCATTTAGTGACACATGCATTCATTTGTCGCTGGATTAAGAACAGTACAGAGGGTAGTTCTTTTGAGAACTTGTGCAATAGAGACTGAAATATGAAAAAAACCACATGAGATGTAGACTCTTGACTTTATTTCATTAATGTAAGATATGCTGCTGTATCTCTGCGGCTATCTTGCATAAAATAATTCCATTCAGAGACATGAGTCAGATATCTGGTTTGTTGTGTTTTTTTTTCCTCAAGATTGTCAAAGATACATAGGAAAATGAGTGGTCAGTGTTTAATTTCTTGACATAAGGTCGCGGGGCTTCTGTATGATACTGTTACTGAGTTCTTTCTCCTTTTCTTTCTCCCATTCCAGCTTACAAATGCCCCGCAGAGAAAGAATACAGAGCATGCGGTCCTATTAGAGAGATTACCTGCAAATCAAGGTAAATAATTCCTTCACTGTTAGTTAGAGCTCATACAGCTGTTCAGTCAAATCTAATGCATAAGTGGATGAGAGAAATCAAAATCTTGTCTTAAACTGGCTGTCACGTTTGGTACCACAGTTCTCTTGATCCTAAACCTGGGTGCCTGTAGTATTGATGTTGTTTGGCCGTACCAAACATGAACACTGACAATCCCAAAATCATGAACGTACAGATCCCCTGCCACTGTATGTGCTGTGAAAGGTTATTTGGCATAATCCTCCTCTGCGTGCCTACAGTGGTAATGGTGATCCTTGGACCGTTTTGTCTTGTACAGTCAAGAAAATGAAACTTCAACTAAACAAGTGGAAGGCTGTTTCTGTCCGAATGGAACAATGCTGTATGACTCTGGTGTGGATGTCTGTGTGAAAACCTGTGGTGAGTTTTACTCCTTCACTTGGAGCTGTATTTTTTCTCACTCTTCGCTGTTTCCCCATTGCATATGCAACTTAGGCCAGACCGTATGCAGTACTTGTACGACATAAAGTAGAGATGTTTACTGTTACATGTATGGTAATGGGAATTTATTTTGATATTTTCACAGGATGTGTTGGAGTGGATAAGATACCAAGAGAGGTACGCTGACATATGCGTTGCTAATTCAAGTAGACCTGGGGGTGGGGAGAGGAAAGTGGTCTCCACTGGTGCAGTCTTGTTTTGTGGTCTCCCAAGTTTTCATTCCTGTTTTTACTTCTGTTCTTTTAAATCACTCGTTTTATTTTCTTTAATTACAGTTTGGGGAAAGGTTTACAGTGGACTGTCAGGACTGTATTTGCCTGGAAGGTGGCAATGGCATTGTGTGTGAGCCTCATAGATGTGCCAAACAAAGTAAGATCAGTTGTGATGGAGAAGGCTTCCATGAGGTCAACGAATACAATTCTGAAGACCCCTGCTGCCCCATTATCACCTGCAGTGAGTTTATTCTTTTGTTTTAAATCTTTCTATACCTTTTAGGAATAGAAAGGAAAGGAGAACTGTACTAGTTCAGAACCAGAGACCTGCAGCCTTGAGTCACTAAATAGTATCTTTCCTCACACTTTTTAAAATCAGCTTGCCTAGTGTTAGGGAAATTACATTTTAAAAGTGCAGTGACTCAGCAGAACTGAATCTCTAGTTCTTGAGTCCAGGACCACATTTTATTCAAGTAAAATGCAGAGAGATTATGGAATTCTGCGTGGGTTGCAGAGAGTAGCAATTATTTGCTACTTCTCTGCTCAGAATTGTAATACTTTTTTTAACACTTGGTAATTACATAATAGCAGAAGTTTCATGAACTAGTGCAGTCCCCAAATCCTGTGCCTGGATTCACTAGGAAAAATGTGTTCTTTCTGCAATTTGTTTCTTTGGAGGGGATCTGGACTGTTTCCTTGCAATGGAAAGTCTATCCTAAATGCTTTGATAGATGCTTATCTCTAGTGGCAGTGATTTAGTGTACTTTCTGACTTATTCGTTCTTTTTTCTTTTTTTTTTTTTCAAGAATGCAATACAAGCTTATGCACAGCCAAAGCCCCCAAGTGCCCACTGGGATTCGAAGTTTATTCTCATATTCCCAGTGATCAGTGCTGTCCTGTGTATGAGTGTGGTAAGTTCCTTGAAAATATATTACAGTGATTAGCATAATATGTTATGTTATTTAGCATCACACTTAGACTGTATGCAGAAAGGTACTGAAAGAGGTAATAAACATAGTCAGATTCTACAACGCGGTTACTATTAACTACTGCTATGGTTATGATGAAGAACTAAGAAATCAAATATAGCTCAGGTGCCTCACATTCAATGTTCCTGGTTGTCAGGACCTGTAAGAACAGCTACAGAATTAACTGGGACTGTGGCCTCAGCTTAATGTAGCAAAATATCCTTGTAAGAATCCCCAGTAGATAATAGCTTTGCAAAGTCTGCTTTGTTCTTGGTGCTTGAAACAAGCAACTGCTTGTACCTGTTAAAGTGAACGTTCTTGGCTGTGAACTGGACTGCAGATATTGGGCCAAATCTGCTTCGCTTTTTGCATGTGCTGCTTTTGTTCTTATACATTATACATGTTGTATCTGCTCCCAGAATTGGGGAATAACCAATGTATTTGACCATACATTTTGTGATTCGGTGTGGAAGAAATGAGTTTGACTAGGGTGGGGGTGAAGACTTTTTTTCTCCCATGTAACAACTAAACTTCTTGCTTGTTAACAGTTTCCAAGAAGGTTTGTGTTCATCAGAACGCTGAGTTCTTGGTAAGTTCCTATTTCAAGTCTTTTGAAAATGCTTAAAAGACCAGTTGATATACTCTTATCAGAAGTGCTATGAAGAGGTTTATTTAGTACAATGAATATTTTAGAAATTTTTAGCTTCTTGTGAGCAGTTCTGCAACTTCACAAAGCCTAAGTCTTTTCTGAAACAGTTGCTCTGTATGAAAGACTTGGGTTTATGTCATTACCAGAGAGAGATTTGGGTTTAGAGTTAAGTGTGCAGGCATTTTCAAAAACCTGTCCAAATTTACTATCAGCATGTTATGACAGTTTTAGGACTGCTTTCAAAAGTGAAAAGATTTGTACATAATTATATTCTAAACAGATTCAGATTTCTAATAAACTCTGTTTGGTCTAGTAATTGTTTTATTGCAGATATTTGTATGACACCTGTCCTTTAATATTTGAGTTTATCATTGCTGCATAGGACTTCAATAAAGACACACATTAAATTCAGTAATAAAAAATAATTAAATATCAGTAATATTCAATTAAATGTTGCCTTTATAAATGACTTGTTTCAATAGTGATTGGATAACTATTTAGTTAACTATTTAGTTATCCAATAGTCTCTGTGATTGTTTCTTTTTCCATTGCTCGGTGTACAGATTTTTTGGAAATAAAGAAATGTTTGTCACGGATGTATCTTATAAACATATGAACCTTTTTTTTCTTCTTACAATTTATAGCCTAATTCCTCAGTCTTTGTCGATAAATGTCAGAATTGTGTCTGCACTAACGAAGTTAACGCCACCACTCAGCTGAACGTCATCTCGTGTGAACATGTTCCATGCGACACACATTGTGAACCAGTAAGTGATAAAAAAAAAACAACAGAAAAAAAAACCCATAACCAAAATACTCATACACGTGAAAACCAGTTTGACCGCTGAGTGATGTAAGCAAAGGGAGCCAAAATCTAGAGTCCAGGTCCTTCAGCAACCTGTTGTGTGAAGTTCGACTGTGTAACTTAAAGTCTTCTTTCCCTGAGAGGATTAGCCGGGAAATTTCTGTAGAGCAAGGTCCTGCCCTTCAGGCCGTTGCCAGCACAGATGTGGGCTGGGTGATGAGAGGCTGGAGAGCAGCCCTGCGAGAAGGGCTTGGGTGTGCTGGGGGATGAAAAGCTGGACACGATCCAGCAATGTGCACTGACACCCCAGCAAGCCAACGGCCCCCTGGGCTGCGTGCAGAGCAGCGTGGCCAGCAGGGCGAGGGAGGGGATCCTGCCCCTCTGCTCCGCTCTGCTGAGACCCCCCTGTGGTTCTGGGTCCAGCTCTGGGCTCCTCAGCACAGGAAGGACATGGAGCTGTTGGAGCGGTTCCAGGGGAGGCCGCACAGGTGCTCATGGGACTGGAGCAGCTCCCTGTGAGAACAGGCTGAGAGAGTTGAGATTGTTCAGCCTGGAGAAGGCTCCCAAAGGGGAGACCTTGTCACAGCACCCCAGTGCTTAAAGGGGGCTACAGAAAAGGTAGGGAGGGGCTCTTTGCCAGGGAATGTAGTGATAGGACAAGAGGTAATGGTTTCAAACTGAAAAAAGTGGATTTAGATTAGGTATTAGGAAGAAATTTTTCACTATGAGGCTGGTGAGACCCTGGCACAGGTTGCACGAGGAGGGTGTAGATGTGTCCTCCCTGGAAATGTCCAAGGCCAGGTTGGATGGGGCTTTAGTGGGCGGTGTCCCTGCCCATGGCAGAAGAGTTAGAACTAGATAATCTTTGAGGTCCCTTCCAACCCAAACCATTCTATGGTTCTATTATTAAGGGACTGATGTTTAATTATTAGGCTTATTTATTATAGTGCTTTAATGTATTCCAGCTGTAGCCTGCTTTTATTAGTTGTCTTCCGTTGGACTGAAACACAGAAAGGCACAAATCTGTAGCGCACTTCAAAGCATAATCAATTAATGCATTATTAGTATGTTTTCATTTATTTTTCACAAATGCATCTCTCATTATTTCGAATCATTTCAATATCTAGGGCTATGAACGTCGACCAGTGAAAGGCGAATGTTGTGGCAAATGCGTGCAGACTAAGTGTGTTTTACATACTGCAAGCAATGCCAGCCTCGTCTTGAGTGTAAGTATGCTCGACGCCTTATGTCTCTACCAAACTTGTAAAGTTCCCCCTTTTAGAGAAAAACCATCTCCTTGTCAGAGAAAAACTTAGCGTAAATTTGCACCTGAAGGGTCAGAGGCTCACCTGAAGCAAAACTTACCTACAGTTTTTTGGCCAGATGGAAGGATTCATGAAATCAAGTTTTCTGGAGGGCTTTTTCCTGGAATGACAAATCCGTTCCAGTTGGAATGTTTTTTCTTGCAGTGTGTGGAAGTTTGGGGTATGGTTTTGTATTATTTGATTGTTGTGAACTGAAAAACAGTAGTAAAGCCTACGTGTGAAATAATTTTATTGCCCCTGGAGAGTTAACATTTAGGATTGTTTACCATATAACAGTTCAGCTTTCCCTGGGCAAAATCCATTGATATGAAGGATTTTGTTAATAAATAATGCATTCTGTGTAATTTAGAGGGAATTTTCTTTTCCAAGGAAAATCCCATGTAAAACCAAAGATCCTCTCCACGTGTGGCATACTGCAATACATGTAATAATCTGTATTCAAAACGGCTGTTAACCTAAAAATAATTGACTGGAAAACAAGAGGAAAGTCATTTTCGGGGGACAGGAAAATTTCTGTCTGAGCTCCCTTCAGCTTTACTTATTACATTTTCTTATGTACTTATTTACTTTACTTACAATTTACTTATTATGTATTTCACTTGCAGCCTGGAGAGTTTAAAAACGATCCTTACGATAACTGCACCATTTATAGCTGTGTAAATATCCGCAACCAGTTTATCTCTTCCACATCTGAGATTACCTGCCCAGCATTCAATGAGGACAGCTGCAAACCTGTAAGTAAATATGGAAAACTTACCCTCTACTCAGTGCATTGATTACTTCAGTTTAGTTCAGCCACCTCTCCCTGGTTATTGGTCTAAAAACTTCTTTAGTACAAGGAGAGAAAATAATATTATTTTTCTTGTTTGTTTGTTTTTTTAGGGAACTATTGCATTATTACCTAATGGTTGTTGCAGAACCTGTAAGTATGCCAGTGTACTTTAATCAACACTCAAGAAAACGTATTTTCTTCTTAAATCAACCTATTTTCCAGCCATAGAGGCTGATATGTTTGTATTTAAATAGATGCTCCTATATTCACATTTGTTATTCTAGACATTCACTGTCTGATATCTCTGGGAAAGTTTAATCTGAAGCAAAAAGTCTACTTAAGATAGTTTTGAGGGCGTACTAGTGAAGCTCCAAGAGTGCTGGACTGCAAGGAACTTCTGGAGCTATGTCACTGAAATATATGTTCCCTATAGGTGCACCGCTGGATAGTCCCACACCGTGCTCCCTCCGTCAGAGAAAAGACTTTATCGTCTATAAGGGCTGCCGTTCCGTGGACAGAGTTGTCATGACTGAATGTGAAGGAACATGTGGAACCTTCGCGCTGTAAGTAAACCTGTCGGACAATGAGATTTGAGTATTTCAGTTCCGCTGGCACTGATCTTTTTAGGCGTGGTGTCAGTAGAGTGGTTCCACTGTTTTTGAAATTAGAGAATCTACAAGGAAGCGGCTGTAAGAAAGTGGCCAGTGGGACACCTGATACTGAGCTATTAAAACTCAGGAGAAAAATAGTTCTGACACCCCGAAGAAACTGTAATTTGCTGCCTATCACTGCGTACGCCACAGGGTGCTTCGCAGGGGATAAAACTGATCTTTAGTCTCTGATTGAACCCAAAGTATCCAGGGAGTCTGTCAGTGTTTTGAAATATCACCGTAGAATCTTGCTGCAGTTGCCTCTGCATACAGATACAAGCAAAAGATGACTCTTGACAGATTATAGCCTGGTAGTAACAAATTCTGCCAATCAGGAATGGTGCTTGGGAAGCTGATCTACACAAGGCTGCAGACGATTCTTTGCTGTGAGACAGGAATAGAATGAGCTGCTGCTTCCCCTTCCTGTAACATTGCCTGGTCTGGGAAATGTGCTTTGGTTCACGTGACACAATTGTAGCCCTCGCAGCCAATGGATTGATGTGATGCTGTTGCGGATAGCATTGACGCCACCTGTCTGTGCAGTTTCCTTATTCGGGTCAGGGCTTTGTCGGCCCTTGATTGTTGATCTGGTGTATTTAACATCCATCAGCGTGGTGAGAGGAATCTAAGGATGCTGATCTCCTAAAACTTACTGGGCTTTTTTACTAGGACTTCGATACTAATTTTTTTACCAGAAACAAGATCTCAGCAAATGCAATGAACTTTAAAAGCCTGTTGTTATGACAACTGCTCTGTCAGATGAGCTTAGCACAAAATGTTAGCCTCAGCTGTGGCTCTTCTACCTATTATTCCAAACTTCTCACCGGAGTTCTGTACCCACTTTCATCCTCTCCCCTCTACACCGGCTTCTGGCACAGAGTAATGTTCCCGTTTTCCCTGTTAACAGATACTCTGCTGAGGCCAATTCTATGGACCACAGCTGTACCTGCTGCAGAGAATCGAGGACTGCTGTGAGGGAAGTGGAGCTAAAATGCCCCAGCGGGGACTCCATTTCGCATAAGTACATATACGTGGAAAGCTGCAGCTGCCAAGACACTGAATGCAGGCTCCCAGGATCCAGCGAGTCGCAAAGCACAGAAGAAAATGAGAGTGAGAGCACTCGGAACCGTATCAAGAGGGCCATCAGCTTAACATCGAAATGAAGGGGATAAAAACGAGCAGCGTTCACCTAAAAAGGACTGTGCACTGTTCTTGTCTTCCTTGACTGCTTTTGAACTTCACTTTTCCTAGTTTCTGTATTGTATTTGTTCTCTATTTATTTGTACACACCGTTGGAACGCGAATTCATGTTCTTCCAAGTGCACAGCCTTTTGGGGCCTTTTATAATCAGCTTATTCTCTTTGAATGATTAAAAGCACATTTCAAAACCCATGGGTTTTGTGCTTATTCATGTGCTGTCTTGATGAGCCTGAGTTTTAAAAGAGAAGAAAAGCTCTTTTTCAAGTTACAGGAAGTCAACAGACATATTCCCTAAATTTTGGAGATATCAATTTCTGGCTCCTTAAAAAGCGAAATATCAGAAGGTACTCTCTGGAGGACCTAACGTGTGAGGAGGGGCAGAAGCTGATGCTGCCTGCCAGAACAAAGCCAAAGATGAGCAATGCATCGTGAAGTGATTTGGATGACTCAGAGAAACTTTTAGTTTGGCATCAGATCTCATTTTAGCCGGGCTGTGTATGTTAGGAATGTGCCAGTTCATCACAATTATGTATTTTCACGACAGAAGTAGTCCCTCAGCTATGAGACTATGAAGTTCATTGGCAGTGCTTGAAGGATGTAGAGTTAATACTGTAGGAAGAGGACTCCGAAATCTGGCTGCAAAACAGATGCCTGTCTCTGAGATAGTAATGCCAAGCATCAGCGTTCATTTGCCTCACAACAAAGGACATACCTGAAGGAGGTTAGCTGGATTGCATTCGGAAGTGCCTTGTTTGCCTGATGTTACTGTAAGGGTTGCTGGCACTGGTAGGAATGCACAGAAAAGGAAACTCAGAAGTTTTGCATCTTTAGGATACTGTGATTAGAGAGCTGATTGCTGTGGAGGAGGCGAGGTGGCTGATCTAAGAAGAAGGGGGTTTCATCGGGTCACAAAGCAAGCTCCAGAACTAATGAAACCTTGTTTCTGCTGTACTAGGGGTTTCTAAGGGTTTCTGACTCTGGGTTCATCATGAGAGGCATTCACTCTCCTCCGTGGATTTTGTGGTCTAACAATTTCTATGCTGATGCTACAGCCATATTTTTCCTTGGGTCTTTTGCAACAAAACCCACTTTTCTCAAAACCTGTTGTTGCTTAGCTCTCTTTGAGACCTTCATTTTTGCAGTTAAGTTTGACTGAAGTCAGTAAGCAGCTTCTGGAGACAAACAGATATGAGGGGTGATCAAATCTGACTTGTTTCCCATGAAAGAGACCTAAAATATTCCAAGCCAGTAATGCTGTTTTGCCGCCTTCTCTGTTTACGCTGAAGACTAAAGTCTCCCTTGCTTCATTTTTTCCGTTTGTTCTGTAGCTTGCAGGGACTCTTTCTGTCCCTTCTAGTGATGGGCAAACTACTTGTGGCTAAGGAAATTAACAGATCCTGCCTAAGTCAGTAAGGCTGCAGAGTTTGGCTTCACCACTGCGGGGCAGTCTATAGCTAAGAATGGAAAAATCACTTCGGACAAAAAAGTAAGCTGCTGCCTCCAAAAGGGAGTTGTACTTCACATAGGGGGTTATACCTCTGTGAAGAAGGAATACTGCTGTTTTCCCACAGGCACTTGTATACTCTTAGTAAGCACTGAGAAAAGAAAGCAATATTCTCACAGGAGTTTGCGTGTGTTCCTTACAGTGCTCTGGCTTGTACCAGCCTCTTCAGTTTTTGTGCTGGATTGGTACTGCTCATAACCAGGCTCCCAAGCGAGTGATCTCAGAGAATTCTTACTTACAAGTGCTTGGCAGTTCTAGGTCAAACTGTACGTGTCAAACCTCCACCCCTTTCTGTGCTCTTAGTCACCCTAGGACTTTGCAGTTCAGTTCACACCTGTATTTCCATTGGAACTGGATGACAAAATTGAGCAGATTAAACTTTTTTCCAGCAGACATATCCACAAATAGTCTTTTGAAGAGAAAGGGACTAAGGAAACTTTAACCACGTACCCCTACAGAGAGAGTCATAGTGGCAGTGAGCAGCACTCTTGCTCCTTCCCACAACCCCCTGGGAAGTAAGCAGTGACATCTCCTACCTGAACCTATGGAGCATTTTTTTTCCTTAGTAAGAGCTGTTGGGTCTGCAGGTCACAAGCAGACATTCACTTGGAAAACCCAGGGGACAAACTGAAGAAAATTCTCACAAGGTGATGTTAGCCTTTCAGGGGCTCGGAGATGGTGGAACCTTCTGATCCCACTGTCTTCCAGGTAGGACCTACTGCAAGGGGCAATAGCAGCTTCACAAAAAGTACTAGTGCTGGAAGAGAATGAGCTAGACCCCCTTTGCCCTTCAAGAATGACTCCATTCTCTAGGAATTTCCTTGTCTTCTGGAGTCTAGCAAGAAGGAAGCAATGGCAAGAGTCCCAGCAGAGCTCAGCTGGGTGCCAGAGTGGCTAATGCACTGTCACATCTCCATGCTCGAGTCTTGTGTTCATCTCCTCTTAGACTGTCTGTCTAGTCTGCCACTTTCACCAGTGGCAAAGGGTTTCTTTTGTGATTTATTTCTTTTTCTTCATCCCAAGTTACTTGCCAGTTTTAGTTTTGCCTTGAAAAAGGAGGAGGCCTTCTCTGGAGCAGACCTGAGTGGGTTGGCTGCAGCTCAAGGAGGGTGCTGTTGCCACGTGAAAGATCACTGGGGCTGAGGGTCTCCAGTGCAGGTCTCGACACACTTAGCCACTCTAATAAGCAAAAAGAAAAAGCTCATTGTCCTATTGCGTTGTGGGCCATTTGAGGGGGAGACAAACAAGTATTCCCTTAGATTCCCTAAACCTTCTTTATGATGGATTGTACGATTCCCTGGAAGCAAAGCCACTGTGGCGTGCACCTGAGCTGCAGGACTACCTGGGTTTCATTCCTAACTGTCGTCTCCAAAGTAGTTTGAAGCTCAGACTATTTTTTTTTTTCTAATTATCTGGGGATGCACTGAAAACTCAGCGTTGTTTATCTGGCTCTGCAGCAATAGATTGAGAACTTTCATCTGGATTTAAAAAGGAGTTCTCAGAAGATTTGCTGATAAAGTGAGCACAGTTGTTTTATGGACCGTTACTGAGCAAGTGTTTTGAGAACACTAGGAGCAGGTAGGAAAATGCTTGTTAGCAGTTTGGGAAAATGACTGCTGCTGTCTGAGGTGAGGCAGATGCGATTTAGAAGCGGGGAAAAAAAGCCACACGCAAACCAAGAAGAACCCTCCCGAAAATAATACAAGGTAGGGATCTCTGATCTTTTAACTCTCTTGTTTAGCAGTGTAACTGTATTATAACATTATCGGTTTGTGCTGTAGGAGAGGAAGGGTGAGATAAAATTTTTAGCGTGTTAACTGTTCGACTGTACTTTGCTAAACCACACTTCAGTGAACTAAGCACACGCAGCTCTGCACATAAGCCCCAATGAAAGGACTTCAGCAAAGGCAAAGCCTTAAGTAAATAAGCAGGTAGTTACTGTGCTTGTTAGACACTGTTTGAACTTCTGTAGCAGAGCAAACTCAGATGCTGGGAAAAGAGGCAGAAATAGACTTACAAATGTAGGAAAGAAAATGCTTGTGAATTTTAGGTCCCACAAAAACTGAAATATGTTTAAGTAACCATAACATTGATATACAATTTCTGAAATTTCATCTCCTAGCAGAAGCTTTGAGGGGTAGAGTCATTTAAGGCAGAACAGGCTCTTCAAGTTAAGCAGCACTCTTCCTAGACCAAATTTCCTAAATTAACTCAGTTTTTTCAGGCTACCACAAACAACTGTGCTCCTAACTGGCAACCTCCCTAATTAACATCCAGCCAGGCTAGATAAACCATATTCACATTATTAAAGTAGAAAATCTTGTAATGTCTTTTTCAACACGACCTTTTTAAAATCTAGTATGTTCAGACTTCCTTTAATATTCCAGTTTTCCAGCATTCATATGTAAATGCTTGAATTCCTTTCACTACCTCATCTCTAGAACACTGAAAAACACCACTGCAATTTACTCCTTATTCCAAGACTTTGAGAAAACTCACTGAACGCAGTAGAACTCATAGTGTATTTTTCATATTGCTTCAGTGCAGCAATTTCCATATCAGAACGCCTTTCTCTGGCAGGACAGTTTATAGACAGAAAACACTTTACGTCACCTTTTGGTACCATTTTGGCTAACCTCTCCTTCAAAACTGACAAAACCAATGGAATCTTCCAACTGACATTGAGCTTCCTTAGTTGCAGGAAGTCACAGATCTTCCAGCGATAAGCAATGACCCTTACCACGAGTAACTTGCAAGAATGATTCTGGAAATTTGTTCCTGGTCATATTACATGGTATACTTGACAGGTGAAAACCTTCTCATTTGCTCTGAAGGCTAAACAGGACTAGTCATGAGAGCCTAATCCTGTTAGTCACACAAATGCTTATCTTTGCATGTAGAAGAAGGTACTTCTTGACCACACCAAGGCCGTTAATCTCAGCCTGACAAGAGAAGTGTCTAGATGTTCAAACGGTGCAAAGATTAGTGTGTATGTGGCGAGCAAGGTGGAGGAGAAAGCTCGGATACTAAGTGAAGCAACTTGTGTACAATTACCCTGTTTGGCAGAAATCAAGTGGAGAGAAAATATGGCAGAGCTGGGGTTGAGAAGGAGCACCTTGGCTTCACGCCGCTCTCCTAGGCAGTAACAAAAGGCAGCAGGACCTGTGATCAAGCAACGTGGCTTTACCCAGTACCTGTGACCTGACACAGCAGTGACATTTCAACAGCCTGTCCCTTTGGACTAATGCAGCCGAGCACTTCTTGCCCTTTGTTTGCAGCATCTACGGGAGCTCGTTCTTCTCCTTTAAAACACAGGGAGCCTGAGTTAAACAGCACACTGAGCTATGGGGGGGCTAGTTCTGACTTCCACAACGTACTAAGAAGAGGCCTGGGGAAAGACTGTGGCTCCATTTGTCTTGTTTTTCCTCTCTGGATCATCATTTGAATGTAAAAGAAAATTGGTATTCAGCCAACAAAACCGCTTCGGTTTTAGTGGCTACAGCATTCAAGGCAAGGCAAGTCTTGAAACTTGGATGACAGAAAAGTTAGCTGCTTACTGCAAAATATCACAGCTCATGTTAGAAGGATCACAACCTCATGAGCCCAGTAGAAATCCTCTGGGAGAATTTTAGATCAGGTCCTTAATAGGGACAGAACATAAGTCCAATTTAGGAAAAAAACAGGCCAAAGTAACTTAGCTTCTCACCTCAGCCTGTCCTCTGCCCCATCTCTGCCTTTCTTTTGGCTTGCAGTAACTTTCAGTCCCCGTGGGCTTGCTTGCTGAGTGTGTTACACAGATTTCGGTATTAAGTATGCACTGGCCTCTTCTGAATTGTCTTGGCATCCATGAAATAAATTGATTTTAAAAGAAGACATGAAATCTGCTCTAGCCTCAAGCCCATCAAGCTCTAATTCTTCAAGCAGAATGTTCATACCCTTCTCCATATGGTACCCTGGGTTCCCTTTGTTCTGCTACTCCATATTTTTCATCAGGAAGCCTGCTCAAAAAAAATCTTTCAAGTAGAAAAAGCTCAAGGGCCCAACCTCCTGACGAGATGGCTTTCTATGCAGGGAACCTTTCTTATGTGAGGAAGTGCCAATAGGTCAATGAGACCTGTGCGCACGAACACCAATCAGCCGTGTCATTACTCCTTGATTGTGGATTTTGAAAGATCTACATCTTCTCAAAAAGAAAAAAAAAATCCAGAGAAAAAAAGCAGCTTAACTGCTTCCTTGCAAACGGGGAGTAAGTAATAACCTTGATTAGTTCAGGAAAAGTCAAGGAACCCCGTGGCAAAATGAGAGGTTAAGGAGCTTTGCGTTCAATTTAAGGCAAAACATGAGAAAATACCCAATTATCTCCTATTAAAATACTGACACCTATTTTAACTGATAGTTATTCACAGACATCCATTCCCTGCTTTTCCTCTGCTTGGTACGTTTTTTGCTTACTGCCACCTGTTTCAAACTGTGTGGTGGATGCAAACCTGATGGGTCAAATAAATCTTTGATGCGAATTTCCTAAATTCTGTCGGGATATACCAAGGGTAAAAATATAACCCATGTTGTTCTTTAATTCTTCTGGCAATTTAGAATGTGCAAATTACTGTTGTAACCACCAGTGAGGTAAAATTTTTTGCCAAATTCCCTTCAGACGTTTTTATCATGTGGGTTATCAGCACACAAGGGCTTGACACCAAATCCAAATTAATTGTTTTCCTAGCCAATATTACCTTGTTAATGAACTGTACAGCATTTCCCTAGAGTTATTATCTAGGCAGTGCTTGTAAAACACTGCTTTATGGCAGATTTGTATTTTCAGGAGCAGTACCAGTTTTATCTGAAACGAACTGGAATTTTAGAAGATTTCTAAGCTGAACCTCACCAGTGCCTGGGCTGACCCAGGATGGTGTGTTACAAGTCTTTGTAGACTTCGTACTTCACAACACCTATGGGATCACCTTCTGACAGCAGGGAATGATGGAAACACAACTGCCAGGCTTCTGCACGGTGGCGGGCTGTGAATGCCATTAAACCACCAGATTCCCACAATCTGAGTGACTCTTCACCAAGTTTGTGTCAAAAACAAAGAGCTGTGAGTCATCTGGGATATTGCATTAGCTTCGTGAGGATTTATCTCCAGTGAGTCAGCGGCGATAAAGAAGCTGAGTTAATATTTACCCCTTGCATTTACTAAAATCACATACCCTTTAATGGCAAATGATCCATGAAATGGGCTGCAAAGGGGCCAAGAGAAATTGTTCTTTTTGCTAGTACAGCTGCAGCAGAGTGAAGGCCTCTGATGCCGCAGGGCTTAATAAAGAGAAGAGTTATTAATCCCAGTGTGCTGCTGCAGGGGGAATAGTGATAACTTGTGTGCTTGCAATAGCCATGGTGGTAAGTGATCACCGTATCCACAAGCTCCCCATCAGTCTGAATTTCCTGCTCAAAAGCTACCGTGTATTTCTCCTGAAAATCTCTTTTTTGCCACACTTGCATATAAACCCTCCATTTGGATGCAAATACCCTTCACCTGTCAGTAGCCTCAAAGTCACTGCAGAGCATTGAAGCATCCAGTGATTCCTAAGGACGTGTAGCCGGCAGTCTCTGCGGAGAAGCCAGAAGCAGCAGCTCTGGTTTGTCACTGGCTGAAACTCTGCTCCCCAAGAAATGGCAAAGGAATTGCAAAAATGACGGAGCAGACCAGCAGAGGTAGGAGAATGGCTAGGTACAGAGCAAGAGGGCTGGGTTTCCTGTTTCTCTGAGGAGCAAGAGACATGTTTTTGCTTTTCTTAGAGGAGGATCCCAGATGTTGCTTTCTCTGCTGAGAGGAGCATAAGTGGATGGTGACTCCCTGAATTACGTCTTTTATTCTGCCTGTTCCTTGGACACAGTTTTAACATGTGCTGTTCACGTTCTTCCAGGGCCCCTAAGTGCTAAACAGGGCTTGCAGGGAGAAATCATGTCTCAGCTCACCCCTCCTGCCCACCCTGGCATGCCCCTGAGCCACCCCACATGTAGAAGACAAAGGGCTGAGGGTTGCAGTGATCATCAGCCTCATCATGTCTTTGTCATCTAAGGACTATTCCAACCTACAGGGTGCCTTTGGCAGGTAGCTCATATGTGGTTCTTGCTGCTTTTGTGCTGCCCACTTGGGGTAAGGGGATTTTTTTCTAGAGTCAGGAGTTATACTCCTAGAGTCCTATCCTTCTTTCTGCTCTCATACCAATATGAATGAAATAGGTGCCTTGATCATTTGAGTGGGAATGGGAAAGGAAAAGGACCATGATATTTTTGAAAAATGGGCTCTATCTCAGCAGAGGTCTGCATTTCATTTTTGATACCAGCTTTGATTTGGGAAAATTAACAGGTTTCAGCTTTCTATCTTTATCCATAACTAAGCTCTCTTTTCCAGCATCTGCAGTCTACTGACCTCTGTGCTTTTTCTCCTGGCCTGCACAGCCCTTGCCCACACCTGCCCACACTCTTCTATGACCTGAACAAGAGTTCACTTTGGAAGTTACCATGGGAATCTGTCAAATTTGAGTGTTACTATTGCCCCGTATTCGATTTCAGATCATACTCCCATCAACAACGTCATATTCTCATGGTTTGGTTTACCTACTAGATATTCTGCTGGTTTCACTTTGTAAATATTTGGAGGGAGCTCAGCAGGGAAAGATGCTTTGTGATTAAAAGGAAAAGCAGCAGAAGCCTATTACTTCCATCACTGCTGCCATAAAGTCCATTGGCTCTGTATCCCGGCCAAAATGGCAAGGCTTCAAGAACAGACTTTACCTTCCAGTAGCGCCCTGCCTCAAGTGAGACTGACAATGGGATTAATGGGGCACGGACAGTGGGAAAGGGGTAACATGAACTCATGTTTCATGTGGTGCACAATGCTCTCGGCCCGCGTAGCGCAGAGTTTTCTTGAGAGCCACAGCAGCAGCAAATCTTCACCTGGCAGACGTTTGCGCCTGCGGTTCCGTGAGCCATGTGGTAAGCGGCTTGTCACTGCGAGTGTGTGGATGGGCTCGACCTGAGGGCTTGAACCAAAGGTGAAACCTAAGTCCCCTTTAAAATCTATTTGTGACCACTTAACACCAGGACTCATTCTGGCCTTCATGTGTTCCCAGAGGGACATGGGAATGTCTGTTAGCCCTGGTTGGTTTGCTGGGGCTCGGTAGAGGCTTCCTCTGGGTCAGTTCCCCCAAGGCACGGCTCAGGTGGGGCTAGGTCAGCTCAACAGAGTGAGTGAGTCTCTAAGAGACCCTAAAATTACCAGCGTCAGACATCTGTGATAGGATATCTCAGAACCATCCTACAGTGGCGTGTAGATCAGCTCATGGCTGAGCCCGCTGGATTTTTGTATAGGTGTGTGGTAGGGAATTAAAGCACTCTGCTAGCACCACGGCACCCTTTGGCAGCTGCGCAATTGAGGAGGATGAACCGTGGTCTACGTTTTGGTGGAACTTGGGCACTGCTCCCTTATACTGTTTGGAGAAGCCACCACCTCTGTGGCCGTAAAGAATAGACTGACTTCCCGAGTCGGACTAACGCAATGAAATCTCATTTGCAATTGGTGGACTAATGTTAACTAATATTGTTCTTGTTCTGTTGTATCTCTCTGGCCTGTTTTTGGTAGGATATTTTATATACACATCTTCAAGGCCATTGCCCTCCTGCCAAAATTTTTTGCTCTAAACAAACCATGCGTTATGCCTGACTTTAAAATATTTTTTACTCTAGCGTTAGAAGTCACCATTAAGCTAGCAGAGGTGACAAACACTTTTTCTCGAGCTGGGGGACTTTGCAAGCCCGAGAAAAGCTCTAGAAGAGGGCGATGACTGCTTGCTACTTATCAGATGTTACGAAAAAGAAAACCTATTGTTGCCAAAGAAAAAGCAACCCTGTAGGAGTGGGGGGGACAACTTGTATTAAAGAAAGGAAATGAGAAAAGGACAGCTCCCCGTTTCCACAGAAAGCAAAAGACAACAGGCTGCCTGCAGTTGTCTGGAAGACAGGAGGTTGCTGAGTGCGAACCATGAACCACTGAAAGAAAATCGGATGAAGCTCCACCTTTCAGGGAACCTGCCATCAATGTTTTGTTCTCACGCCAAATTCCTGGACTATAAAAATCTGCCTATAAGCCAAGAAAAAAACACTTCCCCGGAAGGATTTTCAAGTTACTGCTTCATGGCAAGATGGAAATAAAAAGGGGGAGGTCATTTTGGATCTTCTGCCTCATTTGGAGTTGTTGCAAGGGCAAAGAACCAGTTCAGATAGGTAAGGAAAAAATCTAATTCTCAGAATATTTACTCACATATTACTCTCCATAGGTGCAAACAGAGTTGTCAAATGAAAATATGTAATACTCATATATGAGCTGTAGGCATGCCAGATACTGTTTAACATCATATGTTTTCATCCTTAATGTCAACCTCGTAAGTATTTTACTCCTCTTTCTTTCACTATTCTGTAGTTTATCAATTGTTTTGTGACCTAAGTGACTAATCTTACAGAGGAGACTCTCTGGATGCAGTTTGCATCATAAAAAATATGGTGACACCCTTTTCAACAGGTTTCATGTATATTCTGTATAGAAGAAGTATGTTACTATAATTCCTGCTAGGCTTGATTGACCAGTATGAAATACTGCTTTAAGAGTAATCACAGGTTTTGTGGTCTGCTGCACTCTTACCTCCTGGTTTGGTTTTAAATGTCTTGCACTTTTCCCAGTTGCTTAATACACTGACAATTGATGTGACAGCTACTGCTGTCTTAGTAAATCTAGCAATTCCACTTCCAAGAATAGCCAAACTTTCTCGTTTTCCCCCATTATTGTGTAGAAAAGTGCAAAATTACCCCACTGCACTCTAAGGCTGCAAACACCTGTGGCAAATCACAGCTGCTCGTGTAAGGACTTCTTGGCACTTGAGTTCATATCGCATGTTTCTAACATCAAGATCTGAAATTATCAGTGTTCCTCTGGGGATTCTTAGGTAGAAATATTTTAAAATATTTTGAGAATTTGCTGGGTGCATCACTGTCTGGGTTTGATTTGAACTGTGGTGGATGTTGCTATGTTTCTTTTCCTAAATGTGCTACATAGACAACACAAAGAAGTTTTCCCGTTTTCATTTGTCATTCTTTCAAATGGGCCTGGAAGAAATACTAAAAGCATTTTCTAGCAAGCGTATCTTATGGAATTCAAGACCATCCACAGGGACGTTGTGCAGGCAGTGGTACGAAAGCCACTTTCTGAAGTGATGTCTTCGACGCACTTGAAGTCTGTTTCAATACCTTTGACAGTGGTACAACTCAGAGGCCTGAGACGTGAATTTTGATTGAGATGAAACCAGCTGCTGAAGCTGGTGGCAGCCTCCTTTGCTGAGAGCTTTGCTGAGAGTTGTGCCTCCTTTGAGATCTCCTGAAAGGGACTCACTTTTGGACTTTGCACCAAAGTCTTGTCTGTGTTAAGAAGCAGGAATTGGAAAGTAGAAATGAGGCAGCCAGGATGGGATTCCCCTCACTTCACTTGAGATATCTGCAGTGCAAAGGCTGAGGGGTACCATCTGCTCTGGCACCCCTGAGCAACCTTTATAGACAGGGCAGTCCTGCAGCATTTTCTTCCTATGTAGATATGTCAGATAGGGAAGCTGAACCTCTTCTGCTTCTCACTGTTAACTTCAAAAGAGCCTGGACTCCTCTGCTCACACGAGAAGTACCTCTGGCTTCCAAAGTTCGGAGTGATGAAACTCCTTCCCACGAGCTACTATCTTCCAGGGGTTAACATTTTTGCCTGTGAAAATCTCTCTTCAAATTATTTCCAACCAAAAAAAAACCAACAAAAAACCAAAGCACCTTATGGGGTGGATTTCTAAGCTCTCCTCCTTTGACTCTTTCTCTAGTTCAGGTCTCTACCGTCAGCAGGAGTGAATGTGCCACCTGGGGCAACTTCCACTTCCATACATTTGACCATGTGAAGTTCACTTTTCCTGGAACCTGCACGTATGTCTTCGCTTCTCACTGCAATGACAGCTACCAGGACTTCAACATCCAAATCAGGCGCAGTGACAAGAATAACTTCCTGATTTACTTCACCGTCACCATTGATGGAGTCATCTTGGAGGTGAAGGAGACAGGCATCACTGTGAACGGGAACAAGTGAGTGAAGACCATGCTGGTTTGTTCTTCTGCGGGGGTTTTATGGCTATGTATTGGCAAGAGGGAGTGTGTCTGGAAAGTGGTTGTATCCTGCAGAGGTGCAAACGGCTGTATGTGACATGCTCACAGCAATTAGAACTGGGCATTGCAAAGAGTCCTGGAGGAGGCAAGAAGCACGTGAGCTACATCTCCCAGGGATCAACAATAACATATATATTCCCTGTTGCTTTACATATGTTATAAAACCAGAAGGTGTAGGTTTCCTTCATGTTGCTTTGATCTGGGAGGGAGGGGCGGAGGATGGAGATAAAAGCAACAATTTATTTATAGAAGGGTATTTTGTAGAAACATCGTGATTTTTTTCCTCTCAGAATATTATTTCTCTGGTACTAACCCTGCTGCTGTATATTACTGTTCAGGAACGGATGGTCTTTTTAGAAAAGGTTTTCTGTTTCTGGATAGATTAGTCTAGAAAATCGAACTGCTTTGCAGATCACAGCTTGCCTTGGGATGCTCCTACCCAAAAGGCAGAAGTTTCAGAAGTCAAAATCCACACCTTTAATTCTGATCTGAAATGAACCAGAAAGGCAAACTGCAAACAGAAGAGTCAAAATACGCCATGAATAAAAAGCTAGATGCAGCAGTAGGGCACAATTTTAAGTGCAGCCCTCGTGAGAAGTGTAGTAACCTGCTCCCAGCATGCATGTATGAAGGGCCAAGGCAAGTTCTGATTCTGGGAAAAAGCCTCACAATCTTGCCAGGGAGAAAACTGCAAGCATATGGGCTGTCTTCTCTTGACAGCCTTCTGGAAACAACCAAATATAGAATAGCATCACTTGGTTGCAATTATAGTAGCAAAGCCCAGATGCATCTTCTTAATCAAAGGGGCAAGAAATCTATTTTGTAGCCGTTTTCTCACTTTTTAAGTTATTCAGGCTCTGGAAAAATGAATGGAATTGTGATCTTGCTCCTCATAACCTGTTGGGTTAGGTCCTCCTCAAGACAGGGTAAACAAGAAGAACTGTGCTGGTATCAGTTGAGTGGCTAATTTAGTATCGACACACTCATGACTAAAATACACTGTGCTGTGGGTTGGTAAAAGGGCACAGTGGCCAAGGTGATCATACCGAAATTTAACGCCTTGTGTGGATGAAGGCTGATCTTGAAACGAACATCCCCATGGCTTGTTTAGCATCTTTTGACTCTAATTTTTCTTCCTATATCTCTGAGAGGATTTCATCAATCTTTGTTCTCACTGCAATCTCTTTTGTTCCCTCCGATTTCCAGGATCCCCATGCCCTTCAGCTTGAAGAGCATCCTGATTGAGGACACCTGCACTTACTTCCAAGTCACTTCCAAGCTGGGCCTGACACTCAAGTGGAACTGGGCTGACACTCTCCTAGTATGAACAGCCAGTTAGTTGTTTTTCTCTTGCTGAACCTCATCCATGATGAAAAGTAGAGCTGGATGCAGGCACCGTGGTGACATAAGAGACTGGGAGTGGGGGGGAGGTAGCGCTGTATCCGTAAGCTGATAGGGACATATCAAACTAGGTAAGAGTTTCCTGGAGCAGAGTCATGGAGTCACAACACCCGGGCGTTCCCAGTTAATTTTATCTGACAAAAGATGCCACTGTTAAAACCCTGGAGAGGGCAACCCTGCAGTTACCTGCTTCCCCCATGGCGCGCTGGCAGCAACACAGCTAGTTCAACCAGCTCTGACGTGTTAGTTACCCTCTGACGTGTTAGTTACTCTCTGCCTCGATGCACATCATGTGTGGGAAACTAATCTGTGTGACCAGTTCAGACCTCAGTCTCCCTCATTCCATCGTCTTACTATGTGGGAGTTGCCCTTTGGACATCCAACACAAAATATCCTCTTCTGCCATGGCGTATTTGCACTTTTGAGGTGAACATTTACCCTCCACAACCAGGACTGAGATTAAATAAACGAAAGTTGAATGTCGTGTTTTGCAGCTCAGAGAGACAGAGAGGGGGTAGAAGATGAATAGAGAGAGGGAAAAAAAACCCAGGAAGTGATCAAATGGTATTCAAATTCTGATTTAATGAAGCATATGCTTCCTCCCTTCCCCTGTACTAATTCATACCTGAAGTACTGCAGGTACCACCCGTAGAGCGGACACATTTTTAGGGTGACGCACTTGTAGGAAAAGCACCACCTCTTTCTGGTGAGCCTGGGTGATGCCAGGACTGCCCTCCAACCATGTAGGAGTGATTAGATGCAATATTTTTATCTAGCAAGGCAAAAATATGCTAACCTGGCTCTTTATTGCCCACAAGTGCAGACAGAACAAATTTCACCCTTAGAAATGCTGTGAAGTTTTCCATTTAGCCCATGGACTAGAAAAAGCCTTAGATATGGCTAAAACCTGACCAGAAACTGCTTCTTCTCAGCATCCAGCATCAAAGCACAGTTCTCTCATCTGCCCAGAGCGGAGCTGTGGTACCTTGGAAGGGGAACCACGTGTCCATATGTCCAAGTTTAAGGTTGGGCTGGCTTTGACAACCAGTATTTAGCATGCTTCAGTTAGCTCTTTAGAATGACAGTTGTTAAAGGGTTATCTTCCTATTTAAATTTGACCTGTCTGGAGGTAAGTTTTGTGGTTGTTTTCCAATAGAAAAGGAGACTTTTACAAACTGGCAATGAGCATTTCTGCTACTGCGCTTTCCTCTTGTGAACCACCTGGTAGCATGTGCTGCTGATGCAAGGAAAAGCCGTTAAACTCTGGGTTTTCTCTTCCCTTTTGTTTTGTAGCTGGACTTGGAAGAAACATATAAAGAGAAAATATGTGGTCTGTGTGGGAACTATGATGGCCGGGAGAGGAACGATTTGATTTTGGATGGTAGGCCATGAATACACCATATTCCGCATTTGTTCATATGTTACATGAAACTTGACATGTGTTTCCTCTAAGCAGAGTTTCAGATTTTCTGACAGACGCTCTGAAATATGTGAACATTTGCATGTACGGGAGATTTGTTTTAAGAGGTTCTGGGTCCATTTGGGTTCCTCTGCTCTTTGCAAACTTGCAAGATTCTCAAACCTCTTTGACCTAAATTAATTACCAGGCTATCATGCAGCAACATTGCGAGCTTTGCTACTGATAGTAAAGTTTAAGGAACTTGTAGTCTCCAATGAGGTGTGAGTGCATTATTTTGTCCTTCCATAGCCATCATTTAACAGTTGGGCATCAAGTGCAATTATTTTTTGCCTCTGTAATGAAATGAAGTGTCATCAATGAGCCAGAGAGATTTCACTGAGTATCTTTGCAGAGACCGTGGTGCCATCCACTGACACCTTCAGATATTGCACTGAGCTGGAAAGAGGCCAACACAGCAAACAGCTGAGGCTACAGTCCTGCAGCAGGTTGGCTGAGCAGAAAGAACCCTGCATCTTGGGGGATTAGCTGCAGGACTGAAGCCAAAGTTTTAACATCATCCCTTCATGTAAGACCTGGGCTCCTTCAGTCACCAGAAAAAGGTTGTTGTCTACCTCATCGATTCAGAAAGAATCCTGAGATTTGATTAAAAATACAATTTGTAGCGATAGATTTGGTGTTTGTATTTCATTATTAAGCTTTTTGGATCCATCTTATCATGTTTCAGCCCTTTACTCCACAAGTGCAAGAGGTAAAAGCTAAAGTTGGCTCCAAGTTTGGGGTTTTTTTTAAGAAACAGTTTGCTATGGAGAAGCATTACTGTAAGAAAACTGAGCTTTCCTTTTATCCACCTGGTTTCACAGAAAATGGGTTCTCACACCTGGGGACTAGGTCCCTCCTTTCTGCTCTGAATACATCCTTCTCCCTGGGCTAAGCAGGCAGCAGTCAGTCCGCATGTAAAGGTCCAAAATTTCTTCTCGCTTTCAGACTCTTTTCTCCTGAGGGAAAAGAAAATTCAGGAAGAAAAATCCTGTTTCTACAGGCAGTAGCTCTTCCTGAAACGTGATTCTTTATAGTCTTTAATGTTGAGATTGTTGGCAAACCGCATGACTCCCAGAGCTCAGGGCTTTAGAAGGGCTTCTGTTTCCAGAAAAATTAGTGGTAAAGCAAGTGAAAAGAAGCCCTTTTTGGAAGATATTCTCTCAGACCTGTACTTAGTTAAGGAACTGAGCCAGTATAGGAGAATAGACGTAGTCAGGAATCTGTCTGTGAAACTGCAATCTGTGAAAATGAAATTTAGGAATACTCTCCATAAAAATATAAATTTCAATATATATCATTTTATATACAAATATATAAATTTCAAAATTTGTCAGAAAGATTTCTCACATCCCAGATCAAGTTTCTGATAATGTTTTGGGAAAATACGCCAGCTAACGCAGTGGTTACATACATGTACTGTGTGTCTGTCTCCCTGTGCTCCCTCTTCCCAGCACCTGTACCAAGTAGTAGATCTCCAGATGACTACAAACGTGTACATCAGGATTTACTTCAGGTTGTGATAGTAGAAGGCAAACTAAAATATGTGACCACATAAATACAAAACTCTGTAAAACCAAATATACCCATAACGAACAGAAGTCGTTGGAGCTGATGAGGTGCGATAGGAAGGTCAAGAGTTTTGTGTGATTATAAATGCCCAGGGTGACAGCAGTCCTTGATCTGACTGCACCAGATTCCCAGCTCCAGCTCAGCAAAAGTTATATCAGGCTGTCAACCTCTGTAATATGGACTCTGTGGTTAAATTTGAGCGTTCGATGAAGAGCGTACTGCCTGAGAGCCCGAAGACTGAGTGCATCTTTATAGCCCATTAACCTATCGAGAGAATTTCAGGCAGTTACTCAGATGTGTCTGGGGATTTTGCAGGGTATAAAATGCATCCGAGGCAGTTTGGGAACTTCCACAAAGTAGAGGATCCATCAGAAAAATGTGCTGATGTGAGTCCCGATGACCATGCTGGAAGACATCCTAGGCGGGGAGACAGTAGATGCAGTAAATACGTAAGTATGTGTGGCCAAGAAATACAAACCCTCCTCAACTACAGCCCTTAGAGAGTCTCTGTTGAGACGTGTGTTAATTACAGAGCACACACTGGGCTTATTTTTTCATGTGTCTACCCATAAATCTGAGCAAAATATCTATCTTATAGCTGAGAGAATATCTCGTTATAGTGTTAAACAGATAGTGGCAAAGTTGACAACTGAATGACAGCTGCCAGTCCAAGAAAAAGGACCTTGTGACAGAAAGGGAGACTAGATAATCTCCCAAGGTCCCTTCCAACCTGAATAATCCCATAACCCTGGAATTTTGTCATCAAAATTGGCATGCGCGTCCATAAACCTGAAAATTGGTAAAATGTCAAGTATTGGTGGATTTTTCCCTTCTTTTTTTTTTTTAACAGAAAAAAAAATGCAAGAAACTTATGTCTCGTTTTGGAAACTGCCCCAAAGTGGTTGCATTCGACGACTATGTGGAGACCTGCAGTGAGGACATGTGCCGCTGTGCAGTTAATTCTTCTGACTCTGAGCTGGTCTCCAGCTGCATATGCAGCACTTTAAACCAGTACTCTCGAGACTGTGTCCTCAGGAAGGGAGACCCTGGGGAGTGGAGAACGAAAGAACTTTGCTGTAAGTAACTATTGCTCTGGAGAGGTCTTTCAAGTTACACAGACACGTACGTGTTCTGATCCCAGCAGAGCGAAGCTGGGGGCTCTGTTAACTGCTGTGAATCAATCTGTAAAAGCAGATTGTCAGAGACATTGTTAATGGAACTACAAACTTAACTTGATTTTGCTCCTTAAATTAGAATTATATCGTAATATTTTCCCTCTTCTTCTTATGGCTAAGTTTTCTGCAGTTCTTCTTTGAAATTTGCCATGCACGGCTAACTCATAAATAGCCTTGCTTTAAAAGCTGGCATCTAGTCAGAAGTCACTGAGAAGTCTAATGTGTTTGTCCTTAGCTTATCCTCTGCTTTCATACTCGGTGGTTGCAGGAAATCGCTGCGAATCCAGGGGAAAGGCTACAGGTAGTTCTCCCAAACTGCTGGTGCGGACTGGGAGAGAAAATTAAGGGCAGAATGACTGATGCTTTGGACAAAAATAAACTATTATGAATCCATAAATGATTCCAGTGTTCTATGTTGTATCATGACTTCAGGCAACCTCACACTAGTAAAATAACATGAAATAACTCCTATTTCTCAGCAGTACTGTTTTCTCCAAAGATGAAGTAAAAGTGACCATAATAAGTTCCTTTAGAGGTTAAACAAACAAGAAATATCTGGATAGAAAGTTTTGCAAACAAGACCCAGGGGAAAGGAGGAAGAAGGAGTTGGATAGTGATGCAATGATTTGAGAATTCTTAGAAATACATCATTATTATATCCTGTTTTCATTTGGCCTTGCAGATCAGGCATGTCCACACAACATGGAGTACATGGAATGTGGAAACTCCTGTGCTGACACCTGTGCCGACCCCGAAAGGAGCAAGATTTGTAAAGCTCCGTGTACGGATGGGTGTTTCTGTCCTCCCGGTAAGGTAGTTCACTTCTTCAAATGGCTCATACATGTCAAGGGACAAAGAGGGAGGTTGTTTCCTTTCAGTTAGTGGCAAGTTGTTTCTCTTTAACATTTAACAGTAGACCCAATGAATAAATTCTTTTAGCATAATCTAACAACTTTCTTCTTGAAAGAATCAGCTCTGTAAAGACTCAAGATCCTGACACTGCAAGAGGGGAGGGAAAGAATTCTAAGGCCTAGACAGAAAACAACGGTCCAGAAGTGGAAAGAGGAGAGGTGTTCTCTAGGCAGCAAGGATGCAGGTGAAGATCTCTGGTGAGCTGCCTCCCTGTTGCGAGGCTGGATCTTGCTGTAGTTTAAGTCACATGGACCATAAATTGCACATAAATGCATAAATGTGGACGTTTGCACGCGAAGTGGAGGTTAAGATGAGGGTCTGATTTCTGTTAAGTTCACTGTTAGAAGAGGATGTAAACTGGGTCATATCCTTGTAATGTGGCCCTTGATAATCCCGCTCACAGCGGTGAATTCGCAGAGATATACTTTGGGTTCTGCATTGCTTTCATCTGAGCTCTTGTAAGAAATGTTTCCTATCCATTAACACCTGACAGCCTGTTGGGGTGTTTTCCTTAAAATATTTCCCATTCATTTACAGAAATGATGAATATTCCAAAGTTTTTTTCCTTATTCTAATCTTCCTTGATGGTGTTTCCCAGACTCATCAAAGGAATATTAACTAATCAGTCTGTCCAAACAGGAACTATCCTTGATGACCTCGGTGGCAAAAAATGCGTCCCCAGAGACAGCTGCCCCTGCATGTTTCAAGGCAAAGTCTACTCATCTGGAGGGACTTACTCCACTCCCTGCCAAAACTGGTACTGTTGTGAACTTGATTGCACTAACAAGGCACTTATTTCACAGTGTTGATGAGCCGCATTCAGTTCTTTTCTCCTTTTATTTTTTTCCCTATTTCCAACATTTGTCTTAAATAATAATAATGCAAAACGTGAGTCCAAAGTTCAACAGTACAGGAAAGTAACTTAGAGGTAGGCCTAAACCTTTCATAGTTACCATCCTCACTTAGAACTTCCAGCAAAAACTCAGCGCAAGATTTCAGAATGCAGAAGAGCGAGACTCTTTGCTGGGTAGTTCAGAGGCACTGGCCACTGAGTGAGGCGAGGAGTCATACCATGTTAATAAGTTGCCACCCTTAGATCTACAACAGGTGGTTTCAAAGCCTGGATCTCAAAAGTCCTGATCTCTGAGAATTAAATTTGATTTAGAAAAAACCCTGTGACTTGAACACGTCTCCACTCTGCACTAGTAAAAGGTAGTAAGGTCTCGAGTGTATTATTCTCCAAGCAGTTTATTTCTTACTCTGCTGTCCACCTAATGAATGAGCAGCCATATGTGTTGTTTGAGCTCCTGTGACACAGCATAATTTCTTGACCATAGCAGGGAATGAAACACGCTGTGTTGCATGGTGGGGTAGGCCAGATGTTCTGCAAACCCTTTGGACTGAATATTTCTGGCATTTTGAAGAAATGCTCCTCAAATCCTGCAGTTTTGAACTCGACGGGCTTTGTGTGGTTCTCATCTAGCCCCATCCTCACTTATTCCTCACAAAGCCCGAGCTGTTCTTCTCCTGGGTGCCCACCTCTGAGAATTGCAGCTGCTCATTATCTTAGGTCCTCTGCAATGAGTTGCAACGAGTTTCAAGGAGTTTCTTTAAAGCTGTGGTTATTCTAACTGCTCCTTTCTTGCGATTTGTACAGTACTTGCAAAGGAGGCCACTGGAGCTGTATCTCTCTGCCCTGTTCTGGAAGTTGCAATATAGATGGAGGATTCCACATAACAACCTTCGATAATAAGAGATTCAATTTTCATGGCAACTGCCATTATGTCTTAGCCAAGGTATGAACAATCTGCCATTTCACTCCTAAATCTCTCAAGTGGCATGAGGTACTAAGCTGTGCTGGAGCTTTATATGATTTAATTTAATTAAATGGCACCAATCCAGAAGAGCACTTCAACACATACTGTCTTAAACCCCATAAATTTTCCCATTTACAACAGATTGAAAGTCAATTGCTTGATGCTTAGCATCAAAGTTTTGCAGCTTCAACATAATTTTACATCTTTTTCTCTAATGAATTAATTTTCTTAGTGAATGTATTGGTGTAGGCTTAGGCATTTCTCTTGAAGCTTTCTTCATGTATGACTGTCAAAAGAAAATGGACAAGTAAAAATTCCTTCACAAAGATTGAACTCCACGTGACGGTCTGCAAATATGCGATCCCCAAAGGTTGATAGCAAAGCAACAGAGTGCAGAGGAAAAGCAGTGAATGTTATTGATTTTGGCAATGAAATAAAGTGGTTTACAGTTAGAGATTAAATGCCCCAGTTCTTTCATTATTCCGTTCTAGCCTTTCAGAGACACCTTTTTTCTCTGCCAGCTCCTTTCCCGTAACGTGCTAACAATGCCTTTTCTCCTGTCTTCTCAGAACACTGATGACACTTTTGTGGTGATTGGGGAGATCATCCAGTGTGGGACGTCAAAGACAATGACATGCTTAAAGAATGTCTTGGTCACACTGGGAAGTACTGTAAGTAACTTGCTTTAATTAGTGGCACGTGAAGTGTCACTTTTCTTTAGGTCCAAAAGTGGCATTTCTCTAACACTGCGGACTCATTTGAGTCTGTTGCAGTCCTGAGGTTGCAAGACTAATACTGTCAAATGATGTAGTGCACGTGTTTATCGGTTTTGTTCTTCAGCTGTTATTTGCTTTCCAGTTCTTTTGGATTCTGACTTTTCCATTCTCTTTAGAGACAGACAGCTAAAAACTATCTTTCTCGGCTCTCCCTCTCTTTTTCATTACTTCTTTCACTTGTTTCTGTTTGAAAGATAGACATTTCTACAAGAAAAGATCCCCTTCTTTTTACAACAGTCCTGCGGTTTTTCCTAATGAATGAAGTAGCAGAATTTTCCAAACGAAGGCCAGAGGCTTCTCCTGCTGAAGATTATACCATGATTCAAACTGAAATCAGTAGAAGCTGAGTTAGGGCTGGTGTTTATGCACTTCTGAGCTTACACAGATTCATTCCATCCACCTGGTATTTAACTGATGTATCATAGAATCATAGAATGGCCTAGGCTGGAAGGGACCTTAGAGATCATTTTAATCCAGCCTCCCTGTCCTAACCTTGTTAGGAGATCCAACATCCTAACTTCTATAGTCAGGAAAGGAAGATGGGGATCTCCATAGGACAAGTCAGCCCACGTAAGGTAAGAGATGTTCTTCTGGAGGGGCCTGTCCCCGTCCGTTGACTGCTGAGGGAGTTTGAGTCTGATAGCTCTCATTTTGGCTGTGTTACGTTTCCAGTGAGATGGATCCAAACCTACACTTAACATCTCACATGCGGTTCTCAAAAAGATAATTGACCTCTTAGGTATGTGAGAGCACTCAAAGCTGTCACTATGGAGAAAATCTTTCATTTTTTTGTTATGGTGTAGAGATTTGCCTCACGTCACTGCATGGCATCCAGGCACTGAGTTACACTGACTCCAGACGTAATCGTGTTTTGAAGACATCACTTAATCCTTGATGAAGCTTGTCAGGTTGCTGTTGTCTGTCTCGTGTCATATGCATTCACTGCTGTGGGCTGCTTCTTTTTTCTTTGTCTCTGCAGACTATAAAAATATGTTCCTGTGGAAACATCTATATGAACAATTTCATTGTGAAGCTGCCAGTGAGCAAAGGTAAACGTCTTTCTTCACATCTTCCCCAGGCTATCCTTCACTGATTTACAGAGGAAATCCTTTCTCTGGAAAGAACATGATCCTGCTCATTGTTAGGTGATTTGACTTCGGTGGACGCTAGGTCTGCGACTCTCTGGGAACTTCTGTGTCACACTGGATGAACTTTTAAATGGATGTTCCTGTTTACTCAGCTGATAAATATTTGCAGGGGCATACATCTTTTTCTTTGTTTTTATTTTTTCTTTTCTTTCCTCTTTAGATGGCATCACCATATTCAGACTCTCTACGTTTTTTGTCAAAATCCTGAGCTCAGCTGGAGTACAAATTCGAGTGCAAATGAAACCCATAATGCAACTCTCCATAACAGTCGATCATTCGTATCAGAATCGCACATCTGGTAGGACATAGCTTGTTCTTTCAGTTTGCTTTTCAGCTGAGTTGCAGCTGCTTGTCTATCACTTTAAGTGAACAAATTGTTTGATTATATATTGAGTTCGGTATGTTACAACCTCTGGTTAAATCTCTAGCCTCTCTGAAACAAAGCATTGGCTAGATCCTTCCATTTGCTGAAGAAAATTAGAGAATCTCTGTGATGTTTAGTGTATGTAGATCTTTTAGACATTATCTGTAAAAGCAGGCCTTCATCAGAGACTTGCAAGATGCAGACAATGTTCCTGGGTTTGCCACCCATCTCTTGTTTATATCATTTAAGCTTTTTGTGATTCGGGCTTACATCCTGTCTCTCTCACCCGTTTGGTTTTGCTTTTGTGATTTCCTTTGCTTATAAGCCTTTGGGGAAGGCATTTCTCTGTTTGCCAGTGTTTACTGAAGCACATTCAAGCAACTTCCAGTCTCTGTGCCATCACTAAGTGCTACGGTAATGCAGAAAAATATTAATTACACTTTAAAGACAGGGTCCTGCCTGGTTTGTGGGAACATCAGGATGTCTCTGGAGGAAAATGAGCATCTCTCAGGCGAGGTCTATTATAGGGCTAAGAGTGTCGTCTAGAAGCCATTCCTTTTCCATTCATGTAGTTATTTCTTCTTCTTTTTTTTTCTCTTATTTTTTTTCTCCCTGCTACCCAAACAAGGTCTTTGTGGCAATTTCAATAACATCCAGACCGATGACTTCAGAACAGTCACTGGAGCTGTGGAAGATTCAGCTTCTGCTTTTGGTAACTCCTGGAAAACTAGAGCCAGCTGTTTTGATGTTGAGGACAGCTTTGAAGATCCCTGTTCAAACAGTGTGGATAAAGGTAGCAGGCTTTTCATCCCTGGATTATCAGTGCTAAATAATTTTTGCATGATAGATAATCAAAAAAGCTTTAGAAATCTCATGAACATCAAAAGTCACTGCCTTTGAGGCTGGTGCTAGAGAGAATGCATTAGGGTTTGCAGGTCTTTAAGGTGACAGCTTTGCTTTTAAAACAAAAAGCCTGCCTTGCTGGAGAAAGAGCCAACACCTTCTTCACTGATGACTTGAAAAGCACACACAGCATCAGTGACAACAATTTAGGTTTAAAGGCAGAGCATAACCAGTTGTCAATGTTTGGGCAAGATCTTCATCCAATCTAGGTTGTTACAGCTGTGCTGAAGTCAGAAGGAATCATTTATCAGCGGCTCTGACCTCAGAGAGCGTTGTGCTGTTCGAGGTGCCCTGGCTGGCTTCTCACTCTGGCTTTGGGTAGGATTTAGACTGTACTCTGCTCGGCGCTGCCACGTGTATTTAGAACTGTATTTAGAACGTGTATTATAGACCTTCTGAGGAGCGATTGAGGGAGCTGGGTCTGCTCAGTTTGACGAAGAGGAGGCTGAGGGGGGATCTCATCATGCTCTACAATTACTTGAAAGGACATTGTAGAGAGGTTGGTGCTGGTCTCTTCTCACAGGGAATTAGGGACAGAACCAGGGGGAGTGGTTGCAAGTTGCAACAGGGCAGGTTTAGGTTGGACATTAGGAAGAAATTCTTCACGGAAAGAGTGGTCAGATCCTGGCACAGACTGCCCAGGGAGGGGGTTGAGTCACCATCCCTGGATGTGTTCAAGTGTCGCTTAGATGTGGTGCTGGGTGATGTGGTTTAGGGGTGACCTTGTAGTGTAGGGTCAATGGTTGGACTCGATGATCCCAAGGGTCTGTTCCAACCTGAATTGTTCTATGATTCTATGAACTGCAGCTCACAGCCACACAGCTCACTGATTTTTACATCCTCAATGTTATTGCTTGTTTGCAAAGAATTGCCTGACTGCAAAGAATTAGGGAAGTGTGGTGGAAAATGATGAAAAAGGGGCGGCTTTGCAGATGTTCTGCAAATCCAGCTGCAGTAATATTGTTAGTACTTGGAAGGTGAAGCCTTCCTTTTAGGGAGAAGGCTCATCATCCGTCCACCTGTGCTTGTCACCTTGACACATTAATGCCTCATATTCCCTCTGACACTATCTGAACGCTTCAGGGCATTCTAGTTCTGTGTGACACCTGATAAGAATATTGCCTCAGATAGTAATGTTGTTTAAGTGACTGTGGACAATGATATTTTTTCCCACTTCAGAAAAATTTGCCCAGCATTGGTGTGCTCTTCTGTCCAACACAAGCAGTGTGTTTGCTGCCTGCCATTCTGTCGTAGACCCTTCTGTGTACATCAAGGTAAGGCCCTGTCTTAAATGGGTGATTTAATCTAGTCCAGAGACTGATCTACCATGAAGGCAGTTGGACGTAAGAGAGGGAAATAGGTTACAGTAATGCCTGCATGCAGAGAATTTCGCTGATGCTGAGGAGAAAAATAACAAAATGAATGTTTATGGAAGATACGATGGGCCTTTTTGGCTGCAATCCTGAAAATACTGTCACTGACAGTTCTGTTGCACGATCCAGAAGTGAGATAGGGAAAAAGCATTTTACTGTTCTTGAAAACTGCCCACTCTTTGAAAAGCCAAATCGGTGTTTCAGTGTGGAATTGAATTGAGAGTTTCTTCAGCCCCATCAGTTCCCTCTGACTTGGTTTAAAATTCACATCTAGGAGGCAAACATATGTTTACGTTTTTTGTATCTCATCTACTACTGTGGAGTCATGTTAGTCTAGTATTCAGAATATACGAAGCTGCCCTTAAGTACTCTTGGGGTACAGCTCTCTAACACTGTTGAGGAAGTTGGCTGAGCCATGGAGTTGCCATGTTTGTGTGAACAGCAAAGAAGTTTCTGCAAAAGTGCTGAAAATTCATGCAGAGGGTGTGGCAATACAACTGAGAAAACACATAAGCCTGAAATTTTGGCTAAATTTGAGTGCCTTCAGGTACCTTTAAAAATATGGCTTTAAAAATATGCTTTACTTCTCCCGAGTTTCCCTCAGCAAATGTCTGCTTGAGAATTCATGTTAACTGTAAGTAAAATAGGATTTTTTTATTTTCAATTAAGGAAGAGTAATAACCAGTGTCTTATGGGTGTGTCTGTTACTCCTGCCGATGTCATCAGATTTTAAACCACGATTCACAGAAGCATTTTCCATGACATCAAAAATGAGGGGATAAGTCACCATCGATGCAGTATGGCCCTACTGCTCTGGAGTCACTGGCTGTATCTGGATTCTTCTATCCAGCCACCCAGTTAAAAGAACTTCAGCTTTAAATCCCTTTCATACTTACTTAACTAGTTCTTTATATGACATTACATATGATTTCCTATTAAACCATCTTCTGCTATGCACCTGTTATCTAACTGCTTGTACCTTATCTACACGCTGGGTAGATACACAAGTGCCAGTCATCGCTGTGCCCTGCTTTCAGTTCTGTATATTTTTAGATGATGTATTTTGACATGCCCTAGATTGTACGTCCTCATGGGAGGCTGGTATAGACACTTCTTAGTGCTTTAATGAACTGTGGGTGCCCTTACCGTTCTTATTATTCATCTCTTCCTGAGTATGAGACATAACATCACTGCAGTTACGTGGCTGTCATTGATTTCCTGTTTCTCAGAGTATTTCATTAGCATGTATTTTCTCTTACAGATATTACAAATTAAGTTTCATCGGTACTAATGCCATGTCAAAAATAAATTGATGGGCTGCTTTTCGAATTGCTGCACGTTTGCCTGTTTCTTCTGTGAGCACAGTAATGCCCATGTCCTTTTCTCTCCCCTAGAAATGCACGTATGACACCTGCAATGCTGAGAAGAGCGAAGTCGCGCTGTGTAGCGTGCTCTCTACTTACTCCAGAGACTGTGCGGCAGCAGGCATGTCCCTGAAGGGCTGGAGGCAGGGCATCTGCGGTACGCATCCTAAAATACCTCCGGGTGGGGATAGGGGAACAGCCTCAGGGGAGCCCAGTCTGTGGCACTCGGTATCTTTTGTGCTTAGTCATCACGTTAGCGGGTCTTTGAAAAACAGAAGCAGCCTATATTCTATAAAAAACTTCTGCCTGCGAGCATCAGTTGATATCCACTTCATGCTCCTTGTGTAAAATATGAGGCAAATTCAGAGAAGCAGAAGACGGGGACTAATCAAATCGCCACAAAGAGTTGCAGTGAGGTTAGTTTTGAACACGTGGGCTTCCCCCATGTATTTTAGTGCTGATACCATTTTTGCAGTTCATCTCAGCCATCTCGTCTCCAACACTGCTCATACACATGGTATCATTTTTCCATGTTACAGTAAAATAATAACGATTTTTAGTTAATATAGATTGGTGATATCTGAGAATGAGAAAGTGTTTAAAGGCATTTTCTGCTTAGAACTACCTGACAAATGAGTAAAATTTTATTGGACGTTGCCACAAAATCCTGATTTTGCAGTCCACATATGTATATACTTTTCTTTGGAACTGACAGAATCTATTATGATAGTATATTAGAGCTGAGAATAAAACAAGTCTCAGCTTCTGAATCTTACTTCAACATTTCGATTTTTCCCCTGATGATTAGATAGTTCAAGTGAGATTTGCCTATATCAACATGGAAATAAATGTATGGGTTTCTCGATTAATACCACATCTGAATAGGAAATGATGCAGCTTCAATCTATTTAATTGCCTGACTTAGATGCCAGCTGGGATATTTAGAAGAGACAAACAATGTAACCGGTCGAAAGGCATTTAAGATTGCAGTGAGAACAATTTAACAAACCCTCCCTGAAATAATTCAGAAGGAACACAGTGTAGTCCACAACAAATTGTCCTAGAATTGTGCAGAGTTATGTACTAGACACAGTCCCTGTTTATTGAAAGCTTTGTTATGGACATAGAGTTACTGAAATTTTTTATGCCAAAGCGAGACTGGTTTGCAGCCTGGGTTAGACCAAAATCTGTGAACTCATGGCACAGTAGGTAATATTGACTCAAACCGTGAAGTACCCTTGGGAAGAAAATGCTAATGGCTTAATCAGCACAATCATTTTCAGCCTTATTTAAGAGGAAATAATCTTTCAGGAACATACCTGTGATAAGGTTGAAGGTTGCACTACTCATGAGTGAAAGAACAAATGGAGCAGAACTGTGGCTCTCAGTGGTCTGTCCTGTCCCGGGGACTGGAAAGGCTCTTGCAGCTCCTGCAGCCGTGCCGGGCTGTGTCGGGCTGCAGCAGCGTCCAAGGCAGTTCATAGCCCAAGGGGATGTTGGCATTGCAGGCACTAGAGTGTATGAAATCAGTAAACCCCACTAGCTAACTCTTGGCAGTGCGTGACACGATCTTCAGTGGAAGCAGGAACCATTACCTGAGTTACTGGTTACCCAGAAGATCATCAGGATTAGGACCTCTCCTAGGTCACGGCACCATTTTTCTAGTGCTCCTGTGCAAGCTAGCTTGGAGCTATCTTTGGTACGCTCAGGTTCTCTGTGCTCACGTATTATTTTATTGCATTAACAGCTAATAGCGGAGACACTCACTCAGGAAATTCCTATTTAGCATCATCGTTGTTATCTTTCTTATTTGGCCTATTTTAATTTACAAATACCGGTTGCTGCATCTTCACAGTATGCCTATAAAACAGGAGAATACAGCCTGCCCGCTGGATACACGAGATGTCGTGTCTGCTCCAGCTAAGACCAGGAAACCAACTGAGTTTTGTTGGTGGAGGTGGTGGTTTGGAACAGATATCCAAACCTAATCGAAGAAAATGTATTATGGTCATGGACTGGAAAACCATACAGGGCTTTGTTTAAGCATGGAACTTATTGCCCATGTGATGATAATGTTGCTGCAAAGCTGATGAGCACCACTGCCCACGAGCAGCTTCCCTGTACCTTCTAACAGATCTGCGCATATCTGAAAAACAGCTGTGGGCTTAAACCTGCAGATGTGAATTAGAGAGAGGTCCAGGATGACTAGACCTCCAGTTCTCATTGAATTTCAGAGGAAGCTGGATGCCAGGCTTTCTAGAAAGCTGCAGCTTTAAGTGAGTGATGCTTCCTGACAAAATTTTATGACCTCACTGTGGATCATTACTGCAGATTTTAGGACAGAGTTTTGAAGGTGGTATTTCATTGTAGCTTGTGAAAACTATCTTTTTACTGTCTTACGGTTGAGCTCTTCTGATTTTGGTATTTAACCATTTAGTCCACTCAGAGGTTTTAGAAACTATTGTTTCTCATTTACCCAGAGGATGACAGCAACAGTTTTCCTCAAGATATCTCTGAAAATTCAAACACACTTTTTTTTGGCAGCATCAAATTATTAGCAGAGTTCCTTAGCACTGCTCATTTAACGTAAAAATTCACCTCTTTCTATCCATGTTTAAGAGATGGTTAGATGTTGCGCTTAGGGCCATGGTTTAGCGGTGTTGATAGGGATAGGCAAAGGTTGGACTCGATGATCTTGAAGGTCTCTTCCGAGCAAAACTGTTCTATGATTCTATGCTCAATTCTTCAACTGTTCCCAGCCAAAGAAATCATTCCGAAAGGACAAAAAAAAAACTTTTAACTACAAGGACAAGTCAGAAATTGGTTTCAGTTCTTGGCATAAGATAAAACTGTAAATTGTACAAACTATGAAGTTTACTGATTCTCTTATTCAGTCAAGATACACCCTGCTGAGTGTTTGAGTATTCAGTGTCACGTAATTTAGGCGGTGTGTGCCGACGTCCCTCAGACCACTGGGAAACAAGGTCTTTTAGTTTGCAAACCCCACGTTTATGGCTCCCAACATGCAGAAAGCTGCATTAACAGCACGAGTGATGATTGCGCGGAGAAAGCCATACATCCCTTTTATTTCTCTTGCAAAGATCCCTCAGAGGAGTGTCCTGAGACTATGGTTTATAACTATAGCGTGAAGTACTGCAACCAGTCGTGCCGCTCGCTGGACGAGCCCGACCCGCTGTGCAAAGTTCAGATTGCTCCCATGGAGGGTTGCGGCTGCCCGGAAGGGACCTACCTCAACGACGAGGAGAGATGTGTCGCTCCAGATGACTGTCCCTGCTACTACAAAGGCAAGATTGTTCAGCCTGGCAACTCCTTCCAAGAGGACAAACTGATGTGGTAAGCTGCCCCGTGACGCGAAGGTTGAGGACCTTGGGGGATGTTGGGGTTCGATGGGGAAGTCCCGGCTCTAAACCTTGAATTGTGTCATTTTACTGTAAGGAACAATGAAAATTTTACTCTAGATTGTACCAAAGCAAATATTCCTCTAGCAGAAAGTGCAGCCACAGCAAAGGTTAAGATCCTGCACCCCTGCTAGCAAACAAGAACCTGAGAACATTTTAAGGAGAGGAATGTTCGCAGTCTATCTCTTTGCCAAGTTCATTGTTGCATAAAAATTATCCGGGAGCAAGTTTTCCAGAAGACCAGGAGGCTTGCGGGAATTCATTGCTTTGGAAAAAAAAAAAGCAAAGTAAAGCATGTCCTCCAACATACAATGCTGCTGGCTATTTAAAAATAAAAATGGTCCAAGAAAAAAAAATCTCATATTTTAAACTAAGTTTATTTAAACAGAAGTATTTTAAATACTAAAAATTAGGTAATTGATTTCCATCTACAGTTGAAAAACAATCGCTATTTTTTCTTTTTACCTAGTTCATGGCAGCAATGTGAAGAAACACCAGGGAAGGCTGTTTTATTCAAACAATTTATTTGTATCTTTAGATGTCTATGTATTCTTGCTCTCTCTCTTCCAACTCCAATGTTTTTTTTCCGAGGATCCTAGACCGTTTTGTAAACACAGATTCATGTAACCATTTAAGAGGCCTTCTATTTAAGAAAGTATCAGTCTCTTCTCACGGAATGGAAAATGGATGCTTAGGAAAAATGTGATTTAGGCAGTAAATCAGAGGCAGGTGAAGGAAGGGTATTCAAGGGCTGGGTGTCTTAATCTCCTTTCTAGGGGTGGTAATTCCTGTCTGTGAACCTGATAGCTGTACCAAATCTGCGTTTCAGTAGGAATTGGTTATCTGTGTGACTAGGGAAGGTTTGCAGTGCCTTTCTCTCTAGTGAGAGAGAAATGTGCAAAGAGCTGATGTGTTTCGTTTTATGGCATCTCTTTAGCAAATGCATTCAAGGAAGACTGGACTGCATTGGAGAAACTGTCCTGGTGAAAGGTGAGATTTTGTTACGTAATGGCATTACGTTAGTGTCAGCTAGTATTAAAGATGTTTTTCTCTGTTATGTCTCATGTTCTGTAACATTCTAGCATCCTGCACGTTTTTGCCTTCTCCCTGAAACGTGCTGGTTGTTGCTAATAGTTGCCTTTGTAAAAATGCCGCCAGGCGTACTGAGTTCTTTAAAAGATGAAGATATTTCCCGAAGCCTACAAGTTTTCTGTCTCCTTTCCCCTACACTGTTGGAGGGTAGAAGCAAATCTAATAGAAACTGTAAATGAGAGGTGCACGCTGCCCTCTGAAATTTTCCGCTCTCTGTTACAATTGCTGGTGGAGTTCTTTTGCTAAATTACCTTCCTAAAATGTTCCCTTCCTCCTTACAGATTGCCCAGCTCCTATGTATTACTTCAACTGCAGCTCTGCAGGGCCCAGTGCGATTGGATCCGAGTGTCAGAAAAGCTGTAAAACGCAGGACATGCACTGTGTAAGGACTTCACCTCCTAGCAGGAGCTTGGGACACCATGGGCGTACACATGCGATGGTCCTTAGCCCGCGCTGCCGCTACCACATTATGCTCTTCAAGGGCCAACTCCTTCACTTATAACACAGCAGCTGTATCTCCCCTTGTAGCTGTGACACTTGTAGTTTGTTGGTCACTAACCTAGAGTTATGGGATTTGAAAAACAATCCCAAACTTCAGCATCCAGAGCCAAGCACCTCTGCTCATCCCCTGCACTTTCTGTGTGTTAACGAGCTGCCTTGTGTTGTGTTTTGTACACGCAGTACGTCACAGAATGCGTTTCTGGCTGCATGTGTCCCGATGGGCTGGTGCTGGATGGCAGCGGAGGGTGCATTCCCAAAGACCAGTGCCCATGTGTCCACGGAGGGCACTTTTATAAACCCGGGGAAACCATCAAGGTGGACTGCAACACATGGTATGGCATTCCCGGGAGCTTTGTTTTATAACAAAGGCTGTTGAAATTGTCAGTGAGCAGCGTGCCCATGGGGTAGGATGTAGTTCAAAGCCTTCCTCTTCATCGTTAGAGCCATCAGATTTTGGTAGAAATACAAGGGGAGACATTTCCTCTTTGCACGAGCCTGCATTTGAGGAGGACAGGTACCAAAATTTTCCGTCAAAATATTTCCATCCTTTTCTGCAAACAGCTTCCATACTAGCCTTAGGAGTACCAGCCCATGTCCAGGTTGGTCTGTGGCTGGTCAGCCTACAAGGGGGAATTGAGTCTGTTGGGCAGAGCTGAGCCCCACAACAAGATTCAATTTAGAGGACAGAGGAATCACAACGATCTTCCAGTGACTTGCAGCACTTCTGTGTGCGAACTCTCAAATGAGATAAATGAACGCTCTCATAACTCTGCCACAGACTTCACTGTCATTACTGATCAGGGCAGGTAAAATGCTTTGAATCCTTGCTTGTTATTTAGGGAGGATGAGATTGTATAGTCCTGCCAAGGATGTGCACAGAAAACAAGTTTAATGTGTGAAGCCAAACCCTGATAAGCCGATGTCACAGAGGACATTAAGAGGTTTTACTGGGGAAAATTAACTCTATCCCAGCCAGACCTAACACTCAAGGGAGCGCAGGGATAATATTGGTTCACAGCACTGTACTCAGGAACAGAACTGACCACATGGTACCTCACCAATTAATATTCAGAAAAGGTTGAAATATTCAGTTCTTCGCTTTGAACTTGTCTCCTAAATCCCCACTGTCTGCTGCCAGGACTTAATGATTTAAAACATATCTGAAGTTAAAAAATAGAATAGACAAAAATTCAAGCATGTCATGGTAGTAAACATGAACTTTTTGATTCATAAAGCCATCTCCTGGCGTGGTCTCAGACCAGCTGAGAGGGCAAGCCTGGAAGAGCTGCTTTCGGGAAGCATCTCGCCTCCTGGAAGATGGTTGCTTTCTTTGAAGCACTGCTAAAGACAAACCTCTGAATTATTCTGCCCAGTTTGGGGTTAAGGGAAAAGCGTGCTTCCTGCAAAGATTGTGATTCTTTGCATTTTGCCTCCCAGCACCTGTAACAAAAGGCAGTGGAACTGCACAGACAACCCCTGCAAGGGAACCTGCACTGTCTATGGCAACGGGCACTACATGAGCTTTGATGGGGAGAAGTTTGATTTCCTTGGAGACTGTGACTACATCCTAGCTCAGGTATCTTTTTATTATTTATTTTCCTGTATGTATGCTTTTCACACCTTTTCACACTGTGAGGTGCCGTCCGAGTAATTAAAGGGCTGGCCTACACGAAATAATCAACACTGAGGGGCAGAGCCTACTCAGTTAGAGCAAAAACAATGAGATTTTTCCATACAAAAGCAAAGAAATTACCCCTCACAGTGACACAAGAGGGCACTGTGTGATCCTAAACGATTAACTCCTGGCCTGGACAGCCCTTTTCCTGATGTCATTCCAGCATTTCCAAGGCAAAGGAGTTGGTGTGGTGTTGAAAGAATCTTTCAGCCATCTGAGAGTGACAGCACGGAAGTTAACGTGTTGGACTCATGTATAATACTTGCATGTAATGACACAGTACCTGCTGAGACATTCTGCTATGCCCAAATTACACTTGGTTTTGCTAATTAGAAAAATAAAACTAAAATTACCTTTTTGGCTGTGCAGGGCTGGTGCTATGAAAAGCTCAGGTTTTTTTCCATAACTTTTCTCACTGAAATTCCTGGTCAAGTATGAACCTGCCCCCAGGTTAACCGCCACCCAGAGTTTTGATGAATTAAAAAGTGACAGAAGAACAGAAGTCAGATTGCAATGTCATTCATTTAAAGCTCCTGAAAATCTATTAGACTAGTCTAGTTGCTTGAAAATATCTAATACAACGTTATCTATTTTTCCTAAGGATTTTTGCCCCAATAATAAGGATGCTGGCACCTTCCGAATTGTAATTCAGAACAACGCCTGTGGGAAGTCACTCTCCATCTGCTCCCTAAAGATCACACTGATTTTTGAGGTTTGTCTAGAACTGGTTATAACTTAGGAGCCGTGGTCTGGACTTTGTAGCAGTTAGTGTCGTACCCCCTTGTATTCCAACGCGGTTGCTGCTCTGGATGTCAAACAGGCAGAAAGCAGAGGCAGGCAAGCTGGGAAAGGTTTAGGTGTTTGGTGTTAACAGGGCTGGGGGCTTCTGCAGGTGAGGCGATAGACGCAGGGAGTCACCAGGTGTGTGCATGTGCGCGTGCGTGTATTTGCATCTGTGACGTTACTATAGGAGGATGGTATAGGTGTAGTAGGTGGTGTAGGTTTATTGGTGGTATAGGAGTTCTGGTGAAGTTTTCAGAGGAGCGTGGCTCTGGACCCTGGTTTGAGCACAAATGTAGTTGCAGGGGGAAGATTTTCTTCCCTCCAGCTCAGATGAAGAATTTCCCCAAAGTGTACACCCCTGTAGCAGGGGCTGAGGGGGGTAGTGAAAAAAACCAATATGACAAGGGGTGTTCCAGTGTGTCCCATTGCCCGTGCACTCAGGAGGTGCTGTGCCAGCAGAACAGATTTCATCCAGAATGAGGACGATTTCTGTGGCCCTGAGGTAAGGCGCGTCACGCAAGGGCAGATGTTTCCCGTTGAAGTCAGTGGGTCTTTTCTGGCGATAGACTAATTTGTGGTGCAAGGACTACAGAAGAATAAGATAAGGGGCAAGAGGCAGAACACCAGTGCTGTTGCACTTCAGTTTTCTATTCGATATCCTTTCACGCAATGTGTCTGTTCCTTGTAGAGCAGTGAAATCAGGCTTTTGGAGGGAAGAATTCAGGAAATAGCAACCGATCCAGGAGCTAAGAAGAATTACAAAGTGGATCTCAGAGGAGGTTATATTGTAATTGAAACAAATCAAGGGATGAACTTCATGTGGGACCAGAAGACTACTGTTGTTGTTCATGTGGCACCAGCTTTCCAGGTAGGTGTGGAGTGGACTAAGAGTTACAATTTCAGAAGCAAGCAGGCCATATCTTGTGGTTTTTTTCATTGTTCAGTCAATATTTGGAGCTAGAAGTAAAGCCAGACACTTGGCAATACTGGAGGGCTAATGGAGGGATCTTGTCACTTGAAGCTCAGCTTTTGCTAAGCTGTGTTTTGATGGCTGTTTAGAAATTTGCAGCTGTTTTGCCTTGGCCCGTTCTACAGTTTCTTTCCGTCAAACAGTGAGCCGCACTCAAAATGATCAAACCATTTCCTGTGCCTACGCAAATTACCCAGGGAAAAGTCTGTGGCCTTTGTGGGGACTTCGATGGCCGCTCCAGGAATGACTTCACGACCAGAGGACAGTCCATGGAGATGAGCATCCAGGAGTTTGGAAACAGCTGGAAAATAACAAGCACCTGCTCAAATATAAACATGACGGACCTGTGTGCCGATCAGCCTTTCAAGTCTGCCCTGGGACAGAAGCACTGCAGCATCATTAAGAGCAGCATCTTTGAAGCCTGTCACAGTAAGGTAAGCCTGCTCTCCCGTCCTCAGTAGTTTCACACTAGGTATTTGTTTCTATTATGCAAAAGATTTGCACACAATTTTTTACTATCAGAAGCTACTACACAGAATCCTTGAGTACAAGGACTACCTCTCTCAAAACCTCACTTTGCAGCTATGCCAGCTGAACCCAGCTGCACAATGTCATGGAAACAGCAGTGAAGACAAAGAGGACAATAGTTGGAGACCAGATTTAAAAAGTTAGCTATCAGTTTGTAAAATCTAAAGATAGGGTAGGACTGTTTGTATGGGGAACCTAGGGAAAGTTTATTCAAATTACCCAAAGAGATTAAATACTTGATTTTAAACATGAATTATTCTAAACAGAAACAAGGCTACTAATTCTTAATGAGAACACCTATACAAAGTTTCAGTGCAGTTTAATAAGCCATTTTAAAAGCAAACTTGGCTTAATTTCCTTGGTTAGTTCATGTTGGCACAGGTTAAAACACGAGACATCAGTGGAAGTAAGATTTCCTTTTATACTCAGTCACTATCAGTTAGAGAGTGCACACAGCATATGGCTGTGCTAACTCAAAGTGAGGGAGTTCAGTCCTGCAGAAATCACTCTGCAAAGACATTTTGAGCACAAATGCCAGTATTACACACACAACAGCAAGGTGTAGAGTCCAGTTTTACCAGGCAGGTGAAAATAGAAAACCACTTGCTGTAAAATATCGTTGCTCCTACATGATGATTCCAGTCTCTCACAGACTCAGCCTGGTGGATGGTAGAAACTCAGAACATTTTCTCGACTTAAAACACTGCAGCAGGTACATCGGTGGTGACAGGTCTGTTGGCATTTCGACAGGTAAACCCAATTCCGTATTATGAATCCTGTATTTCGGACTTCTGTGGCTGTGACAGCGTGGGAGACTGCGAGTGCTTTTGTACCTCTGTGGCCGCTTATTCAAGGAGCTGCAGCCGAGCGGGTGTCTGTGTCGACTGGAGAACACCCGCTATTTGCCGTGAGTATCGCGCAGAAGATCATGCGCACGGAAAAGCAGTGCTCCGTGCGCCCGAGCACGTGGGAGAGAAACAAAAGCAGAATTCACACATTGCTGTGCCTGCGTGACTTAAGCTCAGCAAAGAACCTCTGCCCGGTGTCTGAGACTTCAAAGTTTTTTATTCTTCTGTTCCAGCTGTGTTCTGTGACTATTACAACCCACCTGACAAGCACGAGTGGTTCTATAAACCCTGTGGAGCCCCTTGCCTAAAGACCTGCAGGAACCCACAAGGGAAATGTGGGAACTTGCTCTACAGTTTAGAAGGTAATTCTTGCTCGGCTTTGGTTTATGGGAATTGAAGCTATTAGTCTGCTTTTAAATGCCTTAAGCACCAAGGTTGCTGAAAGTCTCTCCCATTTGCCCCAGAAACTCATTGACCATACCTCGCCTGGGCTAATTCTTTGCGTGATGGTGCCATTCGTAAAATAATTTGCCTGTTGCCTTAGACAGATAAAAGGTCATTCAGCCTAAATTTGCAAAGAGTAATTATCTGTTGACAAACAGAGTTAATTAAAGCTTGTGGGAGAGAGGGAAAAAGAGAATGTGGAAAAATAATTGGTAGCACAAAGAACATTCATACCAGGATCACATCCATTTGGGGGTCAAATCAACATCCGATAGAGGTATTTATGTGTTTTCCCTGGATCTGTGTAAAGCAGACTAAGAACACTTTGTTGACTCTAACTTTCCAGGCTGTTACCCAGAGTGCAGTCGTGACAAGCCGTATTTTGATGAGGAGAGCAGGGAGTGCGTCACCCTCCCCAACTGCACATCATGGTAGGTCAGTTCATGGTGAGAGAGGCAGAATGGGAGTGCAAAGAACAAGCTAGGCAATGGCTGCTTTAGGTTCATAGGCAGTGGCAATTATTGTTAAATCCTCCAGGAGTGGGCTTTTATGTAAAAGTAGATGCAGTTGCAGACATTATTTCACATGCAGTTTCAAGTCAATATGAAAGTTGTCTTTTTTTCTCTTTTTCTTCAGTGATCCTGAAGAGAAACTATGTACTGAAGACTCCAAAGGTAACTTTTTGCCATTCATTGGGTGATCGTAAGACTGAAACAACTCACCATACCACATTACCATGGGCGTGTTGGCGATAGGATTCCAGCTAGCTAGTTCAATAGGTGGATGTGCAGCAGCACAGATAGACTTCGAAGAGCAAAACGCAGCCTTTGGCCTGAAGAACTCTCTGAAGGTTAATCATAGGGAGGGAGAAGGGAGGCATGAAATGAGGGATTTGTCTCACTCAGGTAAACAGCACTTCTCCACGTGTGCACTTCCTCGGTAGTCAGTGATGACAGGCAGACAGAAGGCTAAAGCAGGCTTCAGTGCTTGTTTTAATGGCGCAGATTTTGCAGAGGTGCTATTTCCTGACCACTAATTTCATAATAAGCCTG